AAAATAAATACATAAAAAATTTTTACAATGTATAGCCTTAAGCAACTTAGTGAAATCCTGTCTCATAGTAAAAAATAAAAGAAGGGCTAGGGATGTGGCTCAGTGGTTAAGCATCCCTGAATTCAATCCCTCATAACCCCCCAAATACAATGTGTATACAAATATATGTGTGTGTATATATATATATGTGTGTGTGTATATGTACTTTATCTTTCCTAAAGCACTCCTCATATATAATCTCATTTTAATGTTATCACCAAATTTTCTCCTTTTGCTGTCATCAGTAAAGGAAGAAAAGTAAAGTCTAGCAAGATTAAGTGATTTGTCCTTAGTCACAAAATCAAGGTTAGAGGTGAAAGATAGCTAGGTTTTAAGATGAGCTAGAAGTACTTGATAGAAATAAGGTTGGGAATGTAGCTCACTCAATAGAGTGCTCACCTATCATGGTAAGACCAAAAAAACAAAACAAAACAAACAAACAAAAAAAGCTGTCACTTACTAAAAACCTGTGTCTGTATCATAATCTACCAGGCTGACTTCAATTTGAAGTCAAATTTATTTCATCAAAAAGCTACTAAATAGAAGTTAAGTTCCCAGAAAGAAGTAAGGAAATGCCCAAATAATCCTGTTCTTGTATTCACTCCTTGCTCCAGTTAAATTATTATACTAAGAGGAATGTGAAGATGCCCAGGCAAAGCCAGGTGAACCCCCGTACCAACTGGGTGGCCATGTAGAAGGCTTGGATGATGATCTGGGGGGTGAAAACCCTCTTCTATGTATGATTTCACTTCCTTCAGAAACTCTGAAGCCAGCAAGGTCACTGAAGTGGTACCATCAACAACCTCAGCATCTTGGGACTTGGCAATGTCCACTAAAGGCTTTGCTGCAGGAAGGACAACATCAAGCAGTTTCAGAATAGTGGCCCCATCATTAGAAACTGTTGCTTTGCCTCAGCTGTCTACAATAAGTTTGTCCATGCTATGAGGACCCAGGGTGATTCTTACAACCTTGGCCATCATCTGGCAGGCACTGTTATTGCTTACAAGCTAAGGGATACCTTGGGAGCTATCAGTTCCCTCTTTCAACAGGATAATTGGTGTGGGCATCATTTTGGAAGCTTGATCAATGGCCCGCTAGTCCTGTTCTTCCTGTTAGGGCTACCCAGTAAACCCACCCCTACCCCTTTTTTAATATTTTATTATAGACAGGGTTTCATTGAGTTGCTAAGTGCCTTGCTAAGTTGCTGAGACTGGCTTTTTATGAACTCATGATCCTCCTGCCTTAGCCTCCTGAGCCACTGGGATTTAATAGGTGCATGCCACCATGCCCAGCTATAATTTTATACAAATGTAGTAATACATTATATACTCTTATATACCTGGCTTCTTTCACTCAATATAGTTTCTGAGATTAATCCATGTAGTTGAGTGCATCAGTCATCAATTTGTTTTTATCAATAAGTAGTATTCCAGTACATGGATGTAGCACAATTTGTTTAGCCATAGTTATGTGGTGATGAACATTTGGGTTGTTTCTGGATTTGGGCTATTATGAATAAAGACACAATAAAAATTCCTGTACAAGTTTTCTGTGTACATGTTTTTCCTTCTTTTGGATAAATACATAGGCATGAAATGACTAGGTCACAACATGGTGTGTATTTAACTTTTTAAGAAAGTCTCTTCCCTCTAGGTGTCATCCAGAAATAGAATGGCTACCAGTAAGTTCTATGTATGTGATAGAAATTTCTATGTCATGTTTTAGGCTAAGCAGTAGGGGTGCTTTGCTCTCTGGGTTATAGAGGGGAGGAAGCTATGAATGCCAGAATGGGGAAGAGATTTATTTTGAGTAGGCAGCACATATAACAAAGCAGTGAAATTCTCCCCAGACTTTTTTCAGTCTCTTTAGAGGCATCCTCTGGTTTTTTCCTGATGGTAAAACGCCTGTAACACTTTTTGCCCAGGAGTGGAGGTAGAGGAGAGACTATGGAGAGCTTGTTAATACCATTATTTGGTATTTGGTAGACAAGCATTCAATTAATCCCCTCTGGTTCCCTTTTATCACCCTTCTACATTATAGAGTCTGGAGCCTTCTAAGACATTTCCTGCCTATAGATTCTGGGGTGTTCCTTCTCTGATTATCCTTCTTCTGGAATTTGTTTAACTCACATTTGTGGATATTCCTTCTCTTGTCCTCTTCACTTTTCCTAGTTTTTTTTTTTTTTTTTTTTAAACTGGGGTCTTGGCAGAGAAGAAAAAACAATAATCTTTTGGTCTGCAGCACTCATCCAGAAATTGGTGGTCTAACTCAGTGTAGCAATCTAATACCAGATCATACCAGTAAACCTGTTCTAGCCAAGCTCATCAATGACCATTGATGCTTACTCTAATGCTCACTTTCATGTCTTTCCTTAATCTCTCTGTAACACTTGACACTGTATGACTTCCCTCCTTCCTGAAATACTTAAAAAAAAATCTTTATTTTACTTATTTCTTTTTATGTGGTGCTGAGGATCGAACCCAGGGCCTTGCACATGCTAAGCGAGTGCTCTACCACTGAGCCACAATCCCAGCCTCTGAAATACTTTTTGATCTCCACAATACTACTCCCTCCTGGGTTTCTCCTGCTGTGTGGCTTCTTTCAGTTTCAATTCCACACTTCTGTTCTCTGCTCTTCATCTTCTCTTACTTTACATTTTTTCCCTCAGTTCTGTGACTCAATATACTCTTTGAAACCTTGTACTTGCCATGTTCAGACAGCCCCTCACCTAAGAAGCCTTTTGTTACCCTGCAAGGCTGAGAAAGGCACTCTGTATGCCCCCACAGGACATAACAGACTGGCCTAGAATTTCTCCCATGGTCCCAGATTGCCTGATTAGGGATGTTTCTTTTTCTAGTTATCAGCTCCCTGAGGCCCAGGACTGTGTTTTTATTCCCAATTCCTCTGACATACAGTTGATACTTAACACACAGTTAGCACTCAATAAATATTTGCAGAATTGAATTGAAATCATGGATATCAAAAGGTGCTTTGTATTTTATACATGTTATTATTGATGGTAAAAATTAGGTTTTATACTGTGAAGCAAAAATATGCCAGGTAAAGATAAGCCTCAAGCCAATCAGAGAAAAGTCTAACATTCTTAATTAGTGTAATATAAATTAGTGATGCACATTTTAATGTGAAAATCAAATCCACTTCATTCCTTGGTACCTCTTTAACATCAAACCAATACAGATTTCTCCCATATAAAAGTCTTATTTCTATATTCATAGCACCATTCTTTACAATAACCAAGATGGTTTGTATGTCCACTGACAGATAAATGGATAATCAAAATGCTATATATACATATAATGAAATATTATTCAGCTTTAAAGGAATGAAATTCTGATACATATTACAACATGGAAGAACCTTAAGCATATTACACTAAGTAAAATAATCCAGTCACAAAAAGACAAATAGACAATAGAGGCTCTTGAGTAGTCAAATTCCTAGAAATAGAAAGTAGGATAGTGGCTGCTAAGGGCTAGGAAGAGGAAGAATGGGGAGCTGCTGCTTAGTGGGTTCAAAAGTTCAGTTTTGTGAGATGGAAAGAGATCAGGAGATGGTTTAAAATATGATTATGATGGTAAATGGTGTACATTTACCACCATTAAAGATAAAAAGTTAAAAAGAAGATAAAGAGTTTCACACAAAAATGCTATATTTTATCATAATATTTGTCAAACAAATAAAATTCTGACCTATGTTGAAAATGAAAATAAATAAATTAAATTGTGGAGGGAGTAAGGAGAGGTACATTAAATACCAAAATACTGTACAGTATTAAAAACACACACAGAATAACAGTAATAATAGTGGACATCTATTGAAATTTATTAGATGCCAGGAAAATGCTTTAACATGAATTCATTCCTTCAAAATGACTATGCCAGAAATTCGAGCTTTGAAAGATTAAGTCACTTAACAGTGGCCTCACAGATAAAAAGTGGCCAAAGAGGGACTCAAACCCAGGCACTCCAGTCTAAGCCCATGCTCTGGCCTACTATCTGCCTGGGCACCTTGGGATAAGAAGAAGATATCAAAATGTTCCCTCTGCTTTCGTTGATGAGACAAAAGAAGATAAAGTTAGTGATCTAATAAGTACCTTCTATGTGTCAAGTACATATGGCATATCAGAGATTCATATCAGATGCAGATCTGAGGGAATCCACAGTGTATTGAGAAAGGTGAATATACATGTGTGTGTGTGTGTGTGTGTGTGTGTGTATAAAACAAGTCAAGGCTATATAAGCCGTGAGCTGGCCAGAAAGGCAAAATGTCTAATGAAGTGTCTCATGCAAACACACACAATTCCTAGCAACACAAAATGAGACTAAATATAAACTAAATCAAATAAAATCAGTCTATTAAAACATACTCTAAAATAATAATAATAAAAAGAAGAAAACCTCATACTCTGTCTCAGAATGTTTTGGGGGAAAGAAAGAAAAAAAAGGTCAACTTTGTGTTCTTTTCAAAGAGAAAAACTTAACAGATTCTGGTGACTGACATTCATATCATAATAAAGAGGATAAAGATATTTTGTTCAGATTACACTTTCAGAAACAATTTTACAGGTATACATATTAAAATATTCCCACATTAAAGATTCTAAAAGTCACAAAATATTTTTTTCCAAAGGTAGATCACTACCAGGACACTGTAGTGATCCACTATTAACCCTCCAATTCAAGCAGTTTCTTTTATATCTTTCCATTGCCCTTTAGTCCTCTCTAGACATAACATTCCCCCTGACCACAGCATCCGAAGAAAACACTCGCTAATATGTTAATGCCAAGAGTTAGAGAGATGTACCTTGCTTCCAGAGGCTTAAAATAATTGCTATTTTCTATGTTTAATGCAAAATCACATTGGTGCCTTCTGTACTAACATATCATATAAGTTTTACTTTTTTACTACACTGGTAAGAACTATGGGAATATATACTATACCTTGTTCCAATATCAAGCCAGCTGCCATAGTCCTTAACCAGGAAAAAAAAATGCTGTAAAATAAAACAAAATGTGACTCCATTAAAAAAAAAATCTAAAAATAAAATTGTTTTAGAATCATATGTATCATATTTCTTTTGATCTTTCAGAATAACTATCTGTCTAGAATCAATAAGAATACACCTTTTACTGAAACTTTTGCTTGGACTAAAATGATCAATAGTCTAAAGCCAGAAACAGAATTATCATCCAATCAAATAAACATAAAAGTGACATTTTTGAATAACTAGAAATAAAAAACCAACCAACTTATATAAGACAAACTAAATATCAAAAATATATATGAAAAGAAGCCATATCATCTATTTATCAACTCCATTTACTTAAACTGCTTACTGTGTATTAAAAATCACTGTGTTAGTTCCTAGAGATAACTTCCCCTCATGAGACACATAATCTAGTGAATGATTCAAATTATCAGGTGTACCAGCATGTGAGGGAGGGAGGAAGGAAGGGAGGGAGAGAGGGAGAGGGAAAGGAGGAGAGGGAAGGGAGCGGGGAGCGGGGAGTTAGTTAGTTAATTACTAGAAAATACAAGCAATTACAGAATCACAGAAGGAGGGGTATAAGGTAAGGCTTCTCACTGAAAGGTGAAATCTGAGTGAAAAGTAGGAGTCAAATGAAATAGAGGATGAAGGGAAGACAGATGGGAAGCATGTTTCCAGCAGAGGGAAAAGCCTACATAGGCATCAAACATTCAGATAGTTTTATAGGTTCAAAGTGAAAACCTGGTGTAAAGAGAAAACAAACATGGAGGGGTGAGAAGCAGAAGCAGATCACAAATGGCTTTGCAAGTTAAATTACACAATCTGACTCTTCATGTAGAACTAATCAGGGAATTTCAGCTCTCTTTTATTACCATGTCTTGCCCATTTCTTACTTGGTGAGCAAAACTGAAAGCTGGTTTTTTGTTTTTTTTTTGTTGTTGTTGTTTTTTGAGATGCTGGGTATTGGCCCCAGAGCTTCATGTATACTAGGCAAGTACTCTACCCCTGAGCTACACTCCCAGCTCTGAAAGATGCTTTTTGTTCTAAAACTATGTATGATCAATTTCAGAAACATTGGACACATAGTTCCACAGAACACAAAATGCTCTCAACTAAATCTATTGACAAGGAAACCTGATTTGGAAGGTACTCAAATCTGTGTCTCTAGACACTTCTGACATGGGATGTTATATAGAAAAACATTGATCTTACTCCAAAAGGGTATGGCTTTTGTTCTCAAATTACTGGAAGGTCATTTCTAGGCCTTAGGATGTCAATTCTGACAGAAGTATTTTGCTTGGGGCATTGGTCACCAGATAGTCTAACAATAGGATTTATGATGGGAGTTTTGGGCCACATAGTACCAGTTTTACCCTGGGAAGACAGAAATTAAAGATCAGTCTTGTGGGTAGTATGTGATCAAGCTCCGATAAAAGACCTGGACATCAAAGCTAAGGTAAGCCTGTCTGGCAATGGTGACGTGTACTGTCATGCCTGAATGCTGAAAGAATAATGTTATCCTGATTCCACAGGAAAAAAAACAACAAAAGCTTTGCATCTGCTGTCTTCCTGGACTCTGCTCTATGCATCCTTTCCCTTGGATGATTTTAATCTATGATTTCACTGCTATCAACCATAACTGAATATAATCCTGATCAGGGATGCTTCTAGTGAATTATCAGACCTACAAGGGTTTTGGGGGAATCCTCAGACTTATAGCTATAAAATAGATTCCTCTTTGTGTTAATACACTATACAGAAGCTCCTCACTCAGAACTCATTTATTATAATTATTATCTTGATAACTCTTCCTAATGGAAAAGCTCTATTTCCTTTTGCCTTCCTACAATTCTTCCTTTTTTTCTTTCTTCTTTTAATCTGAAAGAAGGGGGGGGAAAGTCTACATTTTAAATTGGAGAATGATGTGTTACCTAAATCAAACACTAATTTCTGTTAACTTCCTGTGGAAGGTTCATTTCGGAAACAAAGCAATATGGAAGAATAGCTATAAAATGACAGGCTTGAATAAATCAAGTAATGAGACTTTTGACACCTTAAGAAGAGTGCTTTTACTACACACATAGTTTAGAAAAAATAATTTATCTGTGTCAGTTATGTCAGCACTTGGAACTCAGTATCTAAAGATTTTATGTGCAGAAATACATTCACGTGTCTCTTGATTAAATTATCTCAGCACTTAAATTCTCAATTTTATTTATACCAAATATACAAAAATGCCTTACCAAAGCCATAATGTCTGATATCACCAGGACAATGAGAAAAAGGCTGGAAATTAAAAAAAAAAAAAAAAAGAGAGAGAGACACACAATTTATAGTTAATACAACAGGCACAGTCAGGTACATTAAGATTCAAATGAAAATAATTAAATAACCCTTTAGGAAAAGCAATGCCCTAAAAATGGGAGAGTGAAAGGTAGGGTTACTCATAGCGCCACCCTAGCTCTGTGTGACTGACCTCTGGACTCCCTTTTACAGGAGACACATCTACCACCAGTTAGATTTTTGTTACAGCCAAAAACATTCCCAACAGATCATCCATCCGGTACTTTTCATGCCCCACACTCCTTCTTTTGGGCCTCTACCCAAAATATACAAAGCTTTGTTGATGAATCCAGTTACTAAGAGAAACTGATATTTAGAAAAGTTAATTTTAAGTCATGAAAAATAAAATAAAGCTAATAAAGCTTTTCTTTTCTTTTTTATTTTTATTTATTTATTTTTTTTGGTGATGCTGGGGATTCAACCCAGGGCCTTGTGTTTGTGCAGCAAGCACTCTGCCAACTGAGCTATATCCCCAGCCCCCTAACAGAGCTTTTCTACTTTACCTTTGTTCAATACATATTTTAAGGAATCAGAAGAATATAATTAGAATCATCTCAGTGGTTTGATGAACTAAGCCTTGGAATTATGGAACTAATAACCAGGTTATTATTAGTATAAGCTACACTCTTACATTAATCTCTATCCTTTCAAGAGCTATAAGAAAATGTTTAGCAACAAAAACCCCAGGAAAATGTGCAAATGAAGGAGTGATGGTATCACTGATATTTAAAAAGTGAATATGGCAGTAAAGGATAGATGGACTTAGGCTTGTGTGAAAAAGGAAACAAGAAAGGAAACTGCTAGGTTTAATGTGTGATATTCAATCTTAGAAGTCTGTGTGAAATCCTGGGAGAAATGTCAATGTCTTGTAAGAATTTAATGGGTAAAAGAGAGTATTTTTATAAAACCTTAGTTTGGCTACCTTTTGCGTCAGTTCTCTCTCTCCCTTGGTGTTCGGTTTTTCATTGCATCAATATCAAGATATAATTACTATACACACAGGCATGCATACACACAAATATACACACACACACACACATCCTGACAAGCCTTTGACTTTTCATTCCACGTGTCCCAGTTTTCAATCAAGTCTTAATTAAAACCCTCTGTAAAAAGTTTATTCACGGAAATGGAGGGCAGTACTTGTCATTCATTTTTTTTAATTGCATCTGAATAACACTTCCATGTGATATTGACAAAAAGTGTAAATGCTTTCAATATGATATTCATATAGACATCCTGCAAAAGTATACTAACATTTCAAACTACAAACAAAATTTTTACTATTCTTACATATTAGAAAAACATTTTTTAAAAAAATTATGGCACAATAGTGTGCTAAACTAGTTTTAGGTTAAGCTCATCAAGAGCAACATTTATATTTATGTTAATGCTAGTTGTTTCTTTCTTTTCTTTTCTTTTCTTTTTTAAAGAGAGAGAGAGGTAGAGAGAGGTAGAGAGAGAGAATTTTTAATATTTATTTTTTAGTTATCGGCGGGCACAACATGTTTGTTTGTATGTGGTGCTGAGGATCGAACCCGGGCCGCACGAATGCCAGGCGAGCGCGTCACCGCTTGAGCCACATCCCCAGCCCTGTTTCTTTCAACATTTAGTATGCCATTGTGATTCAAGAATAACAAATTACTAAGAACCTTTATATTTATATCAAGTGTTTTTTGGAGAATGCCTATGCTGATAATGCAATTGTACTAGTTTAAAAAAAATAAACAGATGACTTAACAGCTTCTCTCCCAGAATCTTGATCAAGACTGATTGCTCTAGAAATGCATCAAAACTCAGAAAGAATACTTTCTACCCCATTTCTCAAATGTGTAAAAATCAAGACTAGAAACTCAATTACTGATATTTAGAAAAGTTAGTTTCAAGCCATGGAAAATGAAATGTTAAAAAATTTGTCTAATACATATTTAAGAAAAAAGCCAAAAGAAGTTAGAATGATATCTCTTGTTTTAGTAGGCACAGTTATATGTAAAAGAAACAAGTAATTAATTATAATATTTAACATTAATATTTCACCCTTTGCTAGGGAAGTTCCTCACTAGTTAAATAATATTCTAATAACATTTTATTGCTTAGAAAGCATATCTGTCTGCTAGAGGATCTAATCAATTAATTTCCTCTGGCAACAATTGAACTCTGATTAGAAGGGTGAAATATTTTTCATTTTTGTAAGTAACAATCTATGTAGCAGGGTCTTAATAGCAATACATGAAATATCTTCAAATGTTTACTCTCACTTATTAAAAATGGGAAAATCCAATACTTCTCAATCATTAACCTTACCTTTTTGATGATAACTGTGTAGTTAACTGAACTGCTTCAAAAGCACACATGACAAGAACAAAAGGAATTAGAATCTGTTTAAAAGAACAAATGATGCCACTGGTAACTGAAGCATTTGAAACACTCTTTTAAACAAATACTTTCTCAAATAACTTTCACATATACTAGTGTGGAGCAAACACTGAAGTAAAAACATGATTCCAAGGACACAGAACAGTGATAAAATTGATTTAAAAATCTACATTAATATACACAGCATAGAAGATAACAAACATCAATACATACTCCAAATAAAAACCTATTATAAAATTTGCCGTGTTTAACTCATTTTAATAATTAGTATCAATTTTCAAACCATTCCAAGCAGCTGTGAAAAGCATAGAATGCCCAAATAAAATAGATTAAGCACCTGGTAACTTGATTTACAGATCTCTAAACTCATCTGGCTATTTGATACTGTAACACTATAAATATGATTCATATTTTATCAGTGCCTTTTGTTTTTTAAAAGATACATATTTATTTCTGGTTATAAAATTCTTATTAATTGCAATACATTTGAAAATATATACAGAAAGGTATAAGAAAATTTATACTACTTGAAAATTCATAATACAGAGCCAAGACTTTTAATGTTTTGAGGTATTACTTTTCAATGACCAATTAAAAAAATATGTATATGTATATATATGCATACACACACACACACACACACAAACACACACGCCACACCATGGTGAGCATGACTGTAATCCCAGTGGCTCAGGAGGCTGAGGCAAGAGGATCGCAAGTTCAAAGCCAGCCTTAGAAACTAAGCAAGGATTTAAGCAATTTAATGAGACCCTGTCTCAAAAAAAATTTTTTTAAAAGATGAGGGAGCAGGAGATGTGACTCAGTTTGTGGCTCAGGGGTTAAGTGCTCCCCTGGGTTCAGTCTCTAGTTAAAAAAAAAAAAAGACTGTATAAGTTTATTTTCCAAGTGAAGGACATATGAATAAAACAAGGGGGGCCCTCACTGATGACAGATAAGTCAACAAAAGTCATCTTATGTATATGCTGTTAAAACTCACTGAATTATGCTGGAGATTACAGATCAGTATTCAGTATTCTAATGTGAACCAGTTTGCCAGCTTCCCTGTCTGTCTTTGTTTCTGTCTTATTTTTAATTAGGCTTATGGTCTTTTAATAGAGAAAAGAACAACCACGATTTAAAGAATGTGAATGAAAATTAAGAAAGCAATAACATGTTCTCAAATAATTCAATAGAGAATAGACATAAGAAAATCCAGAATATCTTTTCAACATTTCCTAAACTTAACTTTTGTATTAGTACATTAATGAAACTCCTTAAGAGAATATATACCTTTAACAATTGCTACTTATATGATCTGAAGAGAAGGTAATAATTTTAGGTAGGCATTAATTACTTTATTTAAGTAAATATGTACTAACTACATAAAATGTGCCAGAGACTATGGTAGAGGAAATTTGTTAGTGGGAACAAGAAAAGTAAAATGACCTTGGAGAAGAAAAGGATGAACATAAATTATACTCCACTGGAGAGTCTACACCCATGGAAATCTGAGAATACGTCATTTTTCTACTGCTAGAACTCAGGTTGTGTCTGCCACATCCATGAATGAAGCACTCAATGACATATTTGTTGAGGGAATGAGTCAATTCTAGGTACTTGGATTATGAGGAAAGATTGTAACATGCTGTCTGTCTCAAGGTGGGGACCAGAGGTTCAGGGGACTTTAGAATCCTGAACAGCACTGCAGTTTTGATCACAGCTTCTCCACAGGCTTTAATAACCTTTGATAGGCCTTTATGAAACTAGCATGGAATCCTCTTTTGGAATCAAATACTCTTTCAGAGTAGAGCAAGAAAATTAACTGTATTTAGAAGTAAAGGGAAGAATGTACTACCTCCAGTTTAGTATTGGTGTCAATGCCAAGTCTTAAAGGTATCTTCTTTCTATGGCTACTTAACTCTATTACAATGACTTTACAATTTTAATGTCAAATTTTATAATTTAATAATCTTAAATCACAATGAATTCATAATCTTAGTCAACCAACAGCTTAATACAAACAATGAAAAAGAAAACTAACCTTCCACATCATCAGGGATCCCATCATGAAAGGACTAAATACAGTCAGAAAGCAATAGACAGAGGCAAGATCAAAGCTAGGGAATCATAAAAAAAAAAAAAAAAAGAGGAATTTAGAATTCATACTGTAACTTTTAAAATAATATTCTGCTTAAATGATGTTTAAATTAATTCTCTATAACCTACTCTTATTAAAGCACAAGCAGGGGCTGGAGTTGTGGTTCAGTGGTAGAGTGCTTGTCTAGCCTGTGTGAGGCACTGGGTTCGATCCTCAGCACCACATAAAAATAAATGAAGGCATTGTGTCCCTATACAACTGAAAAAAAAAAAAAAAAAAAAACAAACAAACCTACAAGCATACATTATACAGAGGAATATTGTAAAGCCACTGAAAATAAACAAGATAGGTCTGTGTGTGATGATACACACTAATCCCTAAAAGATATCATTGAGTATGAAAAACAAGGTACAGAACAAAAATCAGGGAAGTTCTAATTTGTATTATTCTTTTGGATATGCATGCACACACACACACGCAAACACATACTTTCATTTAAAATTACCTGTTAATAGAGGCTATATTTCCAGTTCCAAAAAATGCTGTCACTAAAAAGAAAACCTAAAAAAGAGGTAAGGAAATGCCAAAGCAAGTTGGAATTCATACCAATTTCATTTAGAAAAGACACGCCCATTCAACATGAGGGGAATTTACTTTTTGACTTGTACACTGATCATAATTGTTTTAACTGAATGTTTAATCATATTCCTCATATATATATTTTGAAAAAACCAGCTGAAGAAGCAACATACTGAGAACTGAGGCCTGGTAAGTCATTTTGGTCACTAGTCACTTTGGGAAGATTAGTTTCCTCTTCTTGAACATGAACAAGTTGGACCTTATCTGTAGTTAGCTGTTAATGACTTTTTCAAAAGAAAAATGCAGACCTAGTACATACAACAGACACCTTCATATGCAAGAAAATTTAGTTCTTAACCGCCTGCTATGTGCCCACAACATGTGAAACACATGCTAGACTCTTTGAAAGGCTCAGAAAGAAACAAGCATGTTTCAGAATAATTCAATTCGAGAATGAGACTACAGAAAAATTTGAGCATCTTCTTGGCATTTCTTAAAGTTAGATGTATGTTAGTACAGTAATCAAAAGTAGGTATTAATCTTACAGGTGCCCAGAGTTTACTGCTAGTAACATTCTTAAAATAATGCCTCACCTATGAAAGAGCTCAATAAATGCTAGTTATCTTATTATTATATATGTAAAAACTGGTACAGAAACCCTAAATAAGAAATATGAATCACAAAAACTTTCAGTGAAATAGTGGCATATGAGTTGGTGAGTTGAGCTTTAAATAGATTCATGCATCCATTCATTTAACCAATTATCTAACCAACTAACATTTATTGTCTAGTATATGTCAGAGACAAAGCAAGGCACTACGACTATATAAACAGACTGATATGGTAACTAAAATCAGTAAAGAAACAGTGGGAAAAAATAACACAGTCAAGAAATAGAAAGATGTGATAGAAACTTAAAAAAAGAGTTTATTGAAGGATAGAGTAAAAGATGAAATATGAAATACAGATTGGAGACATATTATTAAAAACCCTGAACTTTACTGTAGAAAGAATGAAAAGTAGCAAGTATTTATGTGAGTCACATAATCAAGAAATATCAGTGATTGTATAAAATTCTGATCAGAAAAACAAACAATTGGAGGCAAGAAATCCACCAAGGGAGTTATTTCAGTAGTCCATGTCAGAGATAAGGAAGTCTGAATCAGTGCAGTGACAGTGGACATAGAAAGACTGTGGGGAGGCAATGGGACTTTAGAAATAGGCAAGGAGCAGTTTGAAAAATTTGTGTGGTTGTGAACATGGTGATGGCATTAAATGAGAGGAGGCCTGTCACAGAATAATTCTGGAGAGGAGTAGAGCTGATAGGTTAGAATCTATATTTGGTGATGCCCAGGAGAACGTTGGACATGTGACACCTGACGTCAGGAGAGAAGTCAAAGCTAGATTAGCAGAGGTGAAGCTGTTAGCACAGAGGTGTCTGTCACCACTATAGGAGAGGATGGCAATAACCAGCCTCACAGAAAAAGGTTAATGGTGTATCTTGGAGAAAACATATGGTTCAAGGTCAGGGAAAGGAAGGGGTTTTAGAGAGGAATCATGATATAAAAAGTTAAAAGGAGAACTTGTATAGAGTCCTAATGGTCAAGGGAAAAGAAAAAAGAAAATCAATAGAATTAAATGTTACAGCATGGTCAAGTAAATAGATGAAACTGTGAAGTCAGGAAACCCCTGCATACCATTCAGAGTACAGTTTCAGCAGAGACATTTGACGAATATTGATAGAGCACTACTATGTGCCAGGCACTGTTCTAAGGCTTGTGGATATAGTGAATAGATTATAAGGAAATAATGGCAATTACTACGGATTTTTCTTTCAAGAAGTTTGGTAGTAAACAGGACAAAATACAATTGTAACTTAGGGGGATGTAGTATTCTGGGGGAAAAGTTTTTTTCGTTAGCATTGACTGAGTGGAAAGAATCTGTGAAGACAGAGAAAAGTGAAATTAAGAATGAAAACCAGGGGTAGAGAGGGGAAAATGAGAGTATTTATTTTTTTGGAAGAAAGTTCAAAGGAAATATTTGTTTATTTTATAGTAAGTTCAAAGGAAATACCTCTAATACTTACAAGCCATATATATGATAAGGGGTAGATATCCAAAATATATAAAGAACTTGCACAGCTCAAAATTAACAACAGCAACAACCCCCACAAATAATTCAATGGAAAAATGGGCAAAAGATCTGAAGATATTTCTTAAAACAGACAACACACACACACACACACACAATGCCCAACAAATATATTAAAAGATATTCAACATCACTAATGATCAGGGAAATGAAAATCAAAACCATAATAAGATATCACCTCATACCTATTAGAATGGCTACACTAAAAAAGAACTGTTGGCAAAGATGTAGAGAAAAGAAAATCCTTATAAACTGCTGGCAGAAACATAAACTGGTATAGCCATTATGGAAAACATTATGAAGATTCCTCAAAAAATTAAAATACACCTACCACATGACCCAGCAATTCCTCTTCTGGTATATATCTAAAGAAAATGAAAGTATCTTCAAGAGATATCTATACTCCCATGTTCATTACATGATTATTCATAATAGCCAAAACATGTAAAAAACCTAAATGTCTATTGGTGGATGAATGGAGAAAGAAAAAAATATATATATACATGCATGCAATGGAATATTACTTACCCTTAAAAAAGAAGGCAACCCTGCCATTTGTGACAACTTGCATGATCCTGGAGGACATGATGCTCAGAGAAGACATAGAAAGATAAATACTATAAGATTTTACTTAGATGTGTAAACTAAAATAGCTTTAGAAACAATAAGTAGAATCAAGGTCAGTAGGGGCTGGGAGGAGGGGGAAAAAAGAAGGTGTTGGTCAAAGTGTATGAAGTTTTAGTTACCTAAAATAAATAATGTCTAGAGATCTAATGTATGGCATAGTGATGACAGTTAACAATGTATTAGCTATTATATTATATATTAGCCATTATACACTTGAAATCTGCCAGAAGAGTTGATCTTAAACGTTCTCACCAAAAAGGAAGGAGGGAAGGAAGATAAGAAGGAAGGAAAGAAAATGATAACTATGTGAAACAAGAGGTATTTATTTAGTTTGTGATGATCATTTTAGAATGTATATGTATATCCCAGCATCGAGTCAAGTTAAACATTGTAAATATATATATATATATATATATATATATATATATATATATATATGTAAAATTGTTGTCAATTATACTTCAATGAAGATGAAAAACATTAAATTTTAAAAAAGGCATAACTCCCTATGAATTTCTTGGAGCTGGTCAGCCAGCCTTCCCAAAGTGACGCTTTATCATACTGACTTTCCTTTTTACTATATATACTTCAGCAACATTGCCTCTGATGTGACCCCAAAACCCTTATGAGACAGATGTTACATAATATAAATTTCATGTGAAACACATATAAAAAGATACAAACCCATAACAGTGATGGCTTCCAGGGTGAGAGAAATTAGACTGGAGTTAGGAGTTGAAAGGAGACTCCAGCTTTACTATAACATTTTAATTTTTGTAAAAAAAAAAATATGCCTGTGTGATAAAATCTCAATTGTTGATATCTTGAATGATGGAAAATATACACATTTATTTATTACATTATTCTTTATACTTTTCTGTATTTAAAAACTTTAAAAATGTGAACTATATATATGAGAAAGCTATGGCTGAGATGAGTTAATACACTAAGAGCTATTACATTAATACCTTCCAAGTATTCTCACACCATTAAATGGGAGGTAGCAGGTCTTAAAACTTCCAACAAAGGATACAAGGAAAAAAGCTCTACGGATGTCATCCAGACAGAGATGTCGAAACTGAATTATATCAGTATTATAGGAGAACTGGATACTTGTGAGCTGTGAGATAATAAGAAACACATTAATGCACATTAAAAATTGGCTTACTTCTACCTTCAAAGGTTAAACTTACAATGGCCAAGTTATCATGGCAGAAATACACCATGTGCTAGCAAAATGATGGACAAAAATTTTTTTCTACAGCAAAATTACACCTTAAAAAAAATCTGCAAAGGCTGGGCATGGTGGTGCACACCTGTAATACTGGCAGCTTTGGAGGCTGAGATAGGAGGATCGTGAGTTCAAAGCCAGTCTCAGCAATGGCGAGGTGCTAAGCAACTTAGCGAGACCCTGTCTTTATTCATTTATTACTTTTATATGTAATAAAAGTGGGAATTCCCTTTTTTTTCCAAAGGTAAGAAGGGGTTCTTCAGAGAGAGTCCTGATCTTCTTCTTCTTTTTTTTTTAAATAGTTTTTAATTGTCAATGGACCATTATTTTAGTTATTTATATGCGGTGCTGAGAATCAAACCCAGTGCATCATGAGTGCTAGGCAAGCGCTCTACCACTGAGCTATAACCCCAGCCTGAGTCCTGATCTTCTTAAACCCAAGTATGGTATATTAAATGGCATGGGAAAATTAAATGTTTCTCTGTTTCTTTGTTCTGTTAATTCTATTGCACTCAAAATGTTATTTTTTTCTCTAAGAAAGCAAAACATCCCTGGTCTTGGTAAAATGGAGAGTCACTCAATTACAACAAGCTGGGTGACTTTTGCTTAACTCCTCTGCCCCAGGTTGACTTTACAGAAAGACTACCCTCACCACTACTTCCTCTTTAAGTTCCTGGAGTGCTTTAATACTATTTTCTAGAAAAAGACAGATTTGCTTTCAGTTAAAAATAGAATATAAAAAGTGACAATGACCCTCAGTTAGTCTGTCAAAATATTTAATTCTTACCATTTACATTAATCTGATCAAAACGGCTTTTTATGTATTAATATTCCAAGGCTAAGAGTTAAACACAAGAAATTACTTAATATACTTCAATAAGGAGTCTTTGGTACTTAAATTAGTTATTCTGAATTATCAATGCTTCTCTATAAACTCAATTGCAGCCATTTAAGGATGGATCAACTGTCAAAGTATTTTTCTGCAATATTCATTTATCTGACCTCAGTAAAACTGTAAATATTCTATCACCAATTTCTCAAGACCTTCAGTTCTAAAAAAGGCAACAAACATCAATTTAGTTCTCTAACTCAGCATGATCAAGGTGTCCTTAAAAATGTGGTTGGCTTCTAGCCAATTCCAAGTATACTGTGTGGCATAAGCAGTGTAAGATGTGTGCTAAGGCCACAACCACTAAGATGACAGAACAAGCATCTTGGATTAGAATGTGGAGGAAAAACAACAGTGGGAACTTAAATGGTGACTTATGATCAAATTTATAAATTAACTTATGACAGCATGAAAATTCTTTTGACTAAAATAAATTGACAAAAGGAAATGTTGGATGTGAAAACAAGGAAAAATAAAATGAAGGGCATTTTTCTCTAAATATCAACGATTAAGAAAAACTCAATGGAGGGCTGAGGCTGTAGCTAAGTGGCAGAGTGCTTGCCTTGCATGTGTGAGGCACTGGATTTGATCCTCAGTACCACATAAAATGAACAAATAAAATAAAGGCATGCTGTCCATCTATAACTACAAAAACAACAACAACAAAAACTCAACCTATCCATTGCTTTTAAAACTATTAAATTGTGTTTTTCTGTGATAAGTGAAACTTTTTCTTGCAAATTATTTAACTTAATTGCTTATGTTAAATAAAATTTACTAAACTTCTTTAAATACTAAAATTTCAAGTACATAGAATTTTCGATGAAATATCATGACTCCCTTATAGTACACAGAATATTTCAATGTTCTCAGATAAATGCAATTGACAAGTCACCTTTTGTTTACAGCAAACACCAGATTGTTGTAGGGTTTCTTGTTCCATATGTATCCAGATGAACATCAAACATGATAACACTAATGGAAAGAGAGCTTCATACCTAAGTAGTGAGAAGTAGGGGGAGGAAGGGTAGAAACGAGAAGAAAAATACATGAACAAATAAAAACTCAAATTTATACTGGAGGTCTCTCTTTAAATAATTTTGATAATACTCCTCAGCCACACTGTCACAAATTTAAATTTTCTAGGTTTTCTAGAAGAAAATAATATTTAAAATTTAACTCTTAACACTATCATCTTTTAAATTTATTAAATCTTGAGATAATTACAAGTTTTAAAATAGTAAAGATATTTAAAAATAATTAATAAAATAAGTTATTCATAAAAGAGAAAGAAAGCATTAAGACAAAAGTAAAAAGATAATTTCTAATGCAAAATTTTATATATATATGAAAAAGATGAACTTTCCAAATTTCCTAAAAAAATGACTGCAATACAGGAACACGAACTTCTTGAAAAAAAATAAAAGATCCAATAAACACATAAAAATGTTTGGCCTCATCAATAACTAATATGGAAATCAAAACGATAATGAGATACTATACACTTATTTATCAGCATTAAAAAATATTCTTGACAAGAGTGCAATGAAAATGAACTCTTGTGTTCTCTTTATAGAAATATACACTTCTGGAAGGCCATATGGTAGTAGACATAAATCTCAAAAATATTCATAATGTATAATACCATTTCTAGAAATGTGCTCTGAGAAAATTCCAATTATAAAGATTTTGGATGTAATATTGTTTACAGAACAGAGAGTTCAGAGAAAACTACATGCCCAAGAGAATGATTAAATATGATATATTTGTAGGCTGGAGTGTAACGTGGCCACAAAAAAGAAAAGTGCCCACGAGGTAACATGGTGACAGAAACTTTTTTTAAGCAGCTTCTGCTGTGGTTTGGGATAAGTGTTCCACCTTTGCAATTACAAAATGCTTTATTATAGTACTTACACAGTTTTAATCACATGTCAATATGAAGACAGCACCTATTAGTTTATAAAGTCTTTGAAAAACAAACTCTGTTTTGTCACTATGGCAGGTCCAGCTCACCAGAAGTGGTTTTGAATGAGCTATTAACCTAATTGGAAGTTACAAGATAAAAGAAGGTAAACAAGCTTATTTTTCTTTTAACTTTTCAACTACTGAGTTCTAGGCCATATGGCACCATTTTCTTTTTTCTTTTTTGTCAAAATTTTATTTATTTTTTATTGGTTGTTCAAAACATTACAAAGCTCTTGACATATCATATTTCATACATTTTATTCAAGTGGGTTATGAACTCCCATTTTTACCCCGTATACAGACTGCAGAATCACATCAGTTACACATCCACGTTTTTACATACTGCCATACTAGTGACTGTTGTATTCTGCTACCTTTCCTATCCTCTACTATCCCCACTCCCCTCCTCTCCCATCTTCTCTCTCTACCCCATCTACTGTAATTCATTTCTCTCCCTTGTTTTTAAATTTTTTTTCCCTTTTCCCTCACTTATGGCACCATTTTCTAAGCATGAGACACCATAAAAACAAAATACTTTTAATTCTACCACAATCATAAAATGAAAACACTGAAGCTTGGGCAGGAACGCCTTTGAAAAAGCAAGCACAAATCTTTTGGTATGTAAGATTTAGAACATCCATGGATGTGAACAGATATTACATACATGAGAAAATATCATTAGTAAAGCAAGTATAGAAAACTGTACAAAGCAGTACCATTTATGGCCTACTAAAATAGTATTTAATATTATTTAAAAATGAAATGCCAAATGATTAAGGATATGATGAAATAATATCCCTTATAGTTTGTTGGCAACCTCATGAAATGGCACTGTTGTTAAGACAGATGCAAGTTTCTAGAAAAGTATATATTCAAAGGCCATCTATGCTATATTGAGAAAGAAAATAATTAAACTATGTAAAAAGCTTATGCATAATACTATAGCTCAAAATATTATTTATAATAACAAAAAGTATAAATAAATAAAATGATTAAAAACAGAGGAACTTGGGTGCATTCATATCATGAAATATTAAATATCTATCAAAATGAAGGCTAGTGAACTATGAGCCATTCGGGGAAAAAAATGCTTGTAAAATAATGTTAAATAGAAAAAAAATGATACAAAGTAGGACATGTACTATGATAAATTCTACGTTAAAAAAAAGATAAATACAGAGTTAGGGCTAGAAAGAAATATAGCAGAATATCAAAAGGAACATGTAATAATAACTTTTACCCTTATCATTCTTTTCTAAAATATGGCAATACTACTTTTATAATGACAGAAAAAAAGGAAGGAAGACAAAATTTAGAATGCCATTCAAGTTCAACTTCCACATGAGAGCTTGATGGCCCTAACTCAGTCCCCCTACTCAAATTCCTTCCTAGTCACTCTTCACATCATACAATCACAACTTAACTCAAAATAATTTGTTCCATTTTATAATTTACCTAACAGTCCTCATTATATAGCACTTTATAACTCTGTTGAATGCCTACACTACAGTAATAATTCTCTCTGTATGACTTCCTAGTACTCAGGACGTTGGAGATATGAAAGAAAAAACAATTGTTGGTTAATTAATCAAGAAGGTACATATCTAAGCAAAAGGGGACTGTAATTTATAAAATACTTGCAGTTATATATGAAGTTATTCCTTCCTAATGTATAAAAACAAATCCCTTAGTTCTACAAATGGTGCTACAGATTTATTTCCTTTCAAAAAAGTATATACTATGACCACTTTTTTTTTTTTTGGGTAAAATATAGATGAATAAAATCAGATCATGACAATCTTCCTATGATATATTATCTCATAAGACAATGAGAATTTTGTGTAAAGTCTGCAAATATGAATTAAAAACTGAAATATCAATAAAATGTCATCATGGGTTTGAAGAGAAAAAACCTTACTAAACTAGGATCTGCTGATTTGGTCTCTGTGCAAACTAAATAGGGCTGATAAGGTATTTAGGTTTATATTATAGTTTGCTATACAATGTGATAAGGTAAATAATATTTCAGAGGAAAATGTTTAATCAACTTACAAGACAAACTATTTTCAAGCATTACCATATCTTTCATTTGCATAAAATAAATCTTCACTAAATAAAATTAAGGATTGCATTGTTAGGATTATTACAACTGCATTAAAGCTGCATTTCTTTCAAGTATCCTATATTTCTGAAAATTCCTTAATTTACATAGAGAAACCTCTAGGTTATCTAAAATAGTGATGCTGAACCCTAACAGGTAGAATAAATTTTGCAAAATTGATCTGACACTGAAAAAAATGTACTAACCTAACTGATTGGACTGTACTATTTCAAGATATTTTTTATTTTTTTGCAAAGCTAAATATAGGTTCTGATCTTGAATACTATATCTCTTAATGCATTCATTAATAAGGTCATATTTGGCCTTAATATTTTGATTTTAGACATGAACTCTAACATTTTTTCTTCTTAAAATAAACATCCTTCTGATGATCTGTTTTATTATCTCTCATGACCACTAAATTGATGATTTAAAACCTTTAATATGCACCCCCAAGGTAAGTTATATGCTTAATTAATGCTACATTATAAAAGTTTTTCCACTCAAAATTAAACTTAAGTATCCTTCCTTTTTTTCCTTTCCTCCTTCATTTCTAACCCAACAAACCAGATCTATTTCTGGGTTTGTTCCTATTTTTTAATTTACTACATATTTATTTGAACATATACTGCTTTAGAATTTAAAGGTCCAAAAAGGAAATGAATTTATTCATAATTAAGTGACTATATAGAAGCTAGCACATTATTTCTGGACCCACTCAAATATTTATTTCCTTAAGTCAACTTCTGGGTAAAAATCTAGGGCTGGGGTTATAGCTCAATGGTAGAATGCCTGCCTAGAATGTGAAGGCATTGGGTTTGATTCTCAGCACCACATATAAATACATGTCCATTGACAACTAAAAAAAAAAAAAATTAAAAAGAAGGATCTCTTAATAAAATTTGTATGTCATACCAAAATGGTGGGTAAGAAATTATTTTATTTTTTTGCTTTCTTGTTTAGATTAAAAATGTGTGCATATTCTAATTCATTTCTACCTTGAAGGGTGCTAATATAACAAAATTATTTATTCTAAAATTTCATCAAAAAAGGAGGAAAACGTGAAGGGTTTTAAGGTCCTATGATGGTTAACACTCTTGAATATATGGTCACATACTTCAAATTTTATTTGAAAGTTCAAAGTTCTGAATCTCAAAGCAAGTCCATCTTAAGATCTTGTTAGGTAACTGGTAGAAATTTCTTTCATGCTCATATTATATCTTCATAGCTGTGGCCCACATCTGGTTAGGCAGGGAAAAGAGAGAAGATAGAAGGTGTGGAAAGCTTTGAGGAGAAAAGGAGATTTAGAATCCTACTTCATTTCCTATCTGGGTCTACAAGAACTCTCAAGGTCACTTAGGATGCTAAGGGCAACTATGAAAAGATTTTGAGAACTTGTCTCTAAATCCTGAATTAGAACAAGCAAGTTTCCCAAAGATTTAACCCAGGTTTTGGACCCAAATGGCTTTTAAAACTTATCTACAAGGGTAAATCCCTTGGTTTAGTCTAATTTGAATCAAAATACTCTATTTGGGCCAAAATTTGAACTTTGAGTAGTATTTATTCAATTTGTCTGTACTACTGATCAATTTGTCTGTTCTACTGTGTGTTAAATGTAAATATTTCTCACTCTCATAAGGATGAAATTTGAAAGCAAGTGAAGAATTCTTTCCTTCAAAGTAATTAGGGAGTGTATATAATTAAGTTCTAAAGAATGCTTCAGAATTCATGTTAAATCAAGCTACTGAAGACTTTATTTTATTTTGTAAAAAAAAATTTCAATAATAAATAAATTATTTAACCTTTGAGAAAATATTTTGAAATTTCCTTGAAAGAATATTTGACTCTAAAACATGTAAGAATAAGAATAAAACTAAAATATTATACTCAAATAACAAATAAATTAGACCATATATATATTTTCTTTTTTTTGCAATACTGTGAATTGAACTCAGAGACCACACATGCTGGATAAGGGCACTGAGCTATACACCCAGCTCTAAAGCATCATTTAAAAAGCATGAGCCAGTATAGTAGCCCACACTTGTAATGTCAGTGACTTGGGAGGCTGAGGCAGGAAGATTGCAAGTTCAAGCCAACCTGGACAACTAAGCGAGACCCTATCTCAAAATAAAAAATAAAAAAGGGATGGGGATGTGGCTCAGTGGTAAAGTGCCTCTGGGAAAATTCTCTACTACCCAAAATAAACCAAAATAATAAAATAAAATGCATGAAAAGAATGCAACAAAAATGAAATCCTTTTTTTAAAAAAAACAATATCTTTATTTTATTTATTTATTTTTATGTGGTGCTGAGGATGGAACCCAGTACCTCACAAATGCGAGGCAAGCGCTCTACCGCTGAGCTATAACCCCAGCCCCCCAAAATGAAAATCCTTCTAAATCTTTGAGACATTGTTTAGATTAAACTTTTAGAGATGGAATGAATTTTCTAACACTGTAGTTGAATGAAAATTTAGCAACTTCAGTACAAAAAATAGAAAAAGACAACAGACAAGGTATGAAAATGATAAAGAAAATAGGAGATTATGGATCAGGTCACATACAGAGTAGAAAATATTTATAATTTATACTTCAAGATTTACAAAACACTCTTTATCTCCACAGCTTAAATACTAATAGAGAAAATGTCAATATGTTACTTAAAATTTGCTATTATGAAATTAAAAAATGTGTCTATGTTTATACCCTGTGCTTAGGAGCAAGTAGGTTGACATCAAGGAAAGAAGTATGCTATTCAATCGCTGAAAGAGAACTGGAGAACTCAGCAGTGGCACCACCAAGGAAGAGGCTGCAATAAAACAAAGCAGGCCATCTGTCAGCACGGAAGACACACACATTGCAAATTTAGAAGTTCTAAATCATCTATTGTCATTTACGGTGCTTAATATTTGTGTGACCTTTATCATGTGGAAATATTTGCCTTATAGATTTCTCTAAGAAACCAGAAGCTTCACATTTTTAATTAGAATTACATTTTATTGTTTTAGCTATATTTTAAATAACTAAGATTTTCTCAATTTATATTCAGAATAAATGTACTACAATGATATTAACTCCTCAATGCCTAATTTGTTATTTTCTAATGAAGTAAGAAATATTACTCAAGATTCAGCAACTCATCTCTTAATTAGGCACTTATATCTCAGTTCAAGACAACTTACTGTCCAGAAACTGACTTTCCCTAATCCCTCCTCCTACCAAGTTTCCCACTATAAAGTATGCTTTGACAGCTGTAGTGGGCCACTTGGAAAATTGGAAACAGAAAAGAATGACTTCACTGTGCATGAGACTTATAATAAGAGTCCTTTTCCTCATAGGATAGGAAAAGCAACTACTTCAATGGAGACCAGGCAGATACAAGAGGGTGAGGACAGCAAAATATACACTCTTTCCATCTCTGTTTGGAAAGAAAATGTACATAACTTCCTAATTTCACTCCAGAGTATGGAGATGGGATGAAATGCCTCTGAATCACTCATCAACTGTTTAATTGTAGGGCAAGTTTGTCAACATATAGAAACAGAAGTTTACCCATGTCAAACAGGGATAACACTGAAAAGTTGTGAGATTTAAATACAATTTCACCTACAAAATGCTCTCCAAGCATAGTGCCTGACACATAGTGCTTAGTAACTCTCAGCTGCTATTATCATTACTAATCAACATCTTATAAGTTAATTTAAACGTAAAGACAATTTCATTCAAAGTCAAATTCCTGAAAGATTTAAATATGCAAGTTATATCTCTAACACCCTCAGATGAATAGTTTCTGAATTTCATAATGTTATTATCTGATACATACTTTAACTGGAGGAAATAACGTATCAATATTTCTTATTTTAAAAGTCATTTCAAATGAAACTTATTCTATAAATTGTACTTTGTCCTTGTTTCATTTTTGCCTAAAAGCTAAGGTGCTAGGGGGGATTAAGAGTCCCCATTCTGAGTAACAAAAATTAAACCCAGTTTTATAACTTATCACCCATCTAGAGATTATAGTATATTAGCAAAAAATGCTTATTGTAGCTGGACATGATGTGTGGTGTATTCTTTGGAGATGCTGATGACTTACCTATGAGTAAACATTTTATGCCTCACTTCATTTGGTAGTTACCTAATACCTACCTCTATCAGTCCCAAGGTAGAAATTTCTCACTTAAAATATATGCTTTCATATTGGGAAAATGACAGCAATAGGTTGATTCTGCATTTTCTCCCCACCGTTCAAAAAATAACAATAAAGACAATGAATAAAAGTATATAAGATATTCCAAATAGGGAAAAAGAAGCATAGAAAATATTATATAATATGTACATATGTTCTACAATGTAAGACAGTATGACAAAATAGAGATCAAGCTTAAGAGGCAACAGTAATTCAAAGATTATAAGCAGAGATTACAAATAACCCCATCTGAGATTCAAGACGGTAGGCTAGAGGGAGGCTGCGTTCCTTGTTGCTCTGTGATCTGGGATTCAAGCAGTGGGAATACTGTTCTCTGTGAGTTATTAGAGGGTCCCCAGCCGCTGAGCCTGTGCAGACCTCCCTCTACCAACTTGCAGCTCCCTGAATCATCTCCATCTTGGGACAGTGCAACCACTGCCCTCCATATGGTAGCCTGCACCTGGGGACACGGGAAAGGGTCTGGAGACAGCTGTCCAATACAGCACTGCATGTCACAGAGCAGGATCTCCAAATACGCAGCCCCATGCCACAGCCTGGCCTACCCTGATGCCCCATCTCTGAAAGTGGTCTCCTCCATCTTGGGATACCTTCATTGCCATCTTGGGTTATCCTCGCTACTGTCATCACCATCTTTAGTTGGGGTAACTCCCATCTTGGGACACTGGCTGGGGCCTAGTAGCAATATCAAGGTGCCTATAGTCCCCCAAATCCTCCCCACACCCAGCCACTAACCTGGCACAGCAACTGCAACTACATGGCTGGCCATAGCTTGCAAAGCCTGGTCCTGATCTGACAGATTGAAAATAGCTCTCCATGACAAATGCTTAGGTCCCAGAGTGCAGCACACAGGACCTCCAGAGAGAGAGGTTCCTGACTGAGAAGTAGAAAGGGACGGGGTGAGTGAGACATAGTTTAGAGACTAAATTAAAGATCAGGAATTGTGAGGTCTACAGGCGATCTAAGGGGATAAGACCAGGTGCCCACATCACATGAACGGGCCCCAGAGGAGATCCTTGGGATGCAGTCTTCCACTGGGGACCGGAAAGTGCTATATCCCACCTCTAGGAGTTCCACCTCCAAGACCAACCCTTCCACCCTAATAACCTTCACCATGCTGAGGATGGAGATACCAGCAAAGAATAGACAACTCCACCTGCCAGATGAGAAGGGAAGCAGGAAGGATACTGGGCTCCAACAGAAACAATCCTTTAACTTTCCTTTGAGATTCATGCTACTGAGGACTGGGATGTCTAAATAGTATATTAAAGTTGTGCTGCATATTCTTCTATCTTTTATTTTTACATTTTCTTTTTCTTAATATTTTTTTGTTTGCTTTTTGTATTGTCTCTACTTTCTTCCCACTCACCTGTCTCCCTAAAGTCTTTTTCTCTCTCTATTCTCCTGCTAGCAGCCAACTTATTTTGAATCTTCTTTCACGCTTCCTAAGATCTAATAACTCTATATTCTCACCTCCTATCTCCATAACATCTCATCCTACACCTCCCCCTGTGTTCTTTCTGTCCACCATAAAAAACTGTTGACACTTTGGAAACCTACTGTTTATACTGTGTAGATAATAATTGAATTTACCATTTCTGTCTATTGCGACAAAACTGTAACATCTTAATAGGAGCTATTTGATTTAAGGCTGCATATTGTTGCGATTGGGATCTGTCAATATTGATCTCACCCTTAAAAAAGAGGTATTGGAATCCTCCAGGGACATTCTAAGCCTACAGGGTAAAAACTGTAACACCTCAGATCTGAACTCCTAGAGGACTAGACACATAAACAACATGAAAAAACAAGAGAAGAAAGTGCCCCAAACAAACAAAGATACTACATTATGAGAATCCCTGGCCGGCACAGAAGAAAAAAATATCAAAGAAGGAGTACAGGATGTACATAATTAAATGTTCTATGAATTAAAGGGTGATATAAAAGAGTAAACACAGGCAACAAAAGATCATTTTGATAAAGAGCTACATAAGCAAATACGGGACACAAAAGATTAATTCAACAAGGAGACAGAGATTCTGAAACAAACAAACAAAAAACCCCGGAAATCCTTGCAATGAAGGAAATGATAAACCAAATTAAAACTCAATAGAAAGCATCAACAGATTAGATCACTTGGAAAACAGAACCTCAGACAATGAAGACAAAATATATAATCTTGAAAAGAATGTTGAACACATAGTGAATATGGTAAGAAACAATGAGCAGAACATTCAAGAATTATGGGATAGCCTGAAAAGACCAAATTTAAAAATTATTGGGGTAGAGGAAGGCACAGAGTTACAAACTAAAGGAATGAACTGTCTATTCAATGAAACAATATCAGAAAATCTTCCAAACATGAAAAATGAATTGGAAAATCAAATACAAGAGGCTTACAGGACACCAAATTATAAAATCACAACAGATTTATAATTTATACAGAATAAGGAGAAAAATTTAAAAGTCACAAGAGAAAGGAATCAGATTACATACGGGGGAAACCAATTAGGATCTCTGCCAATTTCTCAACCCTGACCCTCAAAGCTCGGAGGACCTGGAACAATATATACTAGGCTCTGAAAGAAAATGGATGCCAACCAGAATCATATCCAGCAAAATTAAGCTTTAGATTTGATGATGAAATAAAAACATTCCATGATAAACAAAAGTTAAAAAGAACTTACAATTAGAAAGCCTGTATTACAAAACATCCTTGGCAAAACATTCCATGAGGAAGAAATGAAAATGATCAAAGGGAGGAACTACACTAAAGGAAAAGCCAATCAAAGGAGAAACCAAATCCAGTTAAAAACGAAAAACAAACAAAATGACTGAGAATACAAACCATGCCTCAATAATAACTCTGAATGCTAATGGCCTGAACTCATCAATCAAAAGACACAGACTGGCAGATTGGATTATAAAAAAGGGTACCCAATAATATGTTGCTTTCAAGAGACTCATCTCATAGGAAAAGAATTCACAGACTGAAGGTGGAAGGTTGGGGAAAAGCACACCACTTAACATGGATTGCATAAACAAGAAGGGGTTTCTATCCTCATATCAGATAAAATAGACTTTAAGCCAGTTCGTCAAAAGGGATAAAGAAGGACATTTCATACTGCTTAAGGGAACCATACATCAATAGGACATAACAATTATAAACATATATGCCCCCAAATATGGAGCATCTCTGTTCATCAAACAATCTCTTCTTGAAATAGAGTCAAATAGACTACAACACAATTATACTGGGTGACATTAACATGCATGTTTCACCACTGGATAGGTCTTCCAAACAAAAACTAAACAAAGAAATTATAGAACTCAATAATACTGAATAACTCAATAAATAATTTAGACTTAACAGATTTATAGAATATTGCATCAATCAATGAGTGAATGTACTCAGCAGCATATGGATCCTTCTCTAAAATATACCATATATTATTCCACAAAGCAACTCTTAGCAAATACCAAAAAAAGAGAGAGAGAGAGAGAGAGAGAGAGAGAGAGAGAGATTCTGCATTCTATCACTTCATAATGAAATGAGAATAGATGTCAATTATGAAATAAAAAACAAAAGCTACTCCAACTCCAACAACTGGTTAACCACTTCTATTTAATGTAGTCCTTGAAACTCTAGCTACAGCAATTAGACAGACAAAAGAAATTAAAGGAATATGAATAAGGAAAGAAGAACTCAAACTATCACTATTTGCTGATGACATGATTCTATACTAAGAGGATCCAAAAAATTCCACCAGAAAACTTCTAGAACTAATAAATGAATTCAGCAAAGTAGCTGGATATAAAATCAACACCCATAAATCAAATGCATTGTCTGTACATCAGTGACAAATCCTCTGAAAGAGAAATTAGGAAAACTACCCCATTCATAATTGCCTAAAAGAAAATAAAATACTTGGGAATTAACCAAACAAAAGATGTGAAAGACCTCTCTGATGAAAACTACAGAACCCTAAAGAAAGAAATTAAAGAAGACCTTAGAAGATGGAAAGATCTCCCTTGTTCTTCGATAGGCAGAATTAATATTGTCAAAATGACCATACTACCAAAAGTGTTATACAGATTTTAATGCAATTTCAATCAAAATCCCAATGACATTCCTCATAGAAATAGAAAAAGCAATCATGAAATTAATCTGGAAAAATAAGAGACCCAGAATAGGCAAAGCAATCCTTAGCAAGAAAAGTGAAGCAGGAAGCATCACAATAAAACCAGACCTTAAACTATACTACTGAGCTAAAACAGCATGGTATTGGCACCATAATAGACATGAAGACCAATGGTACAGAATAGAGGACATAGTGGAGCAGGGGAGTAGAGAATGAAGGATCTTTGATTGGCAAAGTGGAGGGAGGCGCGGGGAGAGGACACAGGGCAGGAAAGATGGTAGAATGAGATGAACATCATTACTGTAGGTACATGTATGACTGCACATACAATGCAACTCTACATCGTGTACAACCAGAGAAATGAAAAGTTATGCTCCATTTGTGTACAATGAATTGAAATACATTCTTCTGTCATGTATAACTAATTAGAATAAAAAAATAACCTCATCCCTACAATATATTTATCCTAAGACTTTTATTCTTTCAATACCTATATATCCACTTTTTGTTCCTTCTATACTTATATATTATCACTGGAAGAATGTTACCTATTTCAATATAAGTATAGATATAAACATGGAATGAGAGAAGGCAGAATAGAACTGTGTGACTAGAATTTGAGGTATCAGTGTAAATGATGATTTCTAAGATACGTACATATATGTACTTGGTATATATATGTGTGAATGTATATGTGCATAGATTTATATGTAAATGCAAATATATGCATATATACTACATACATGAGTATAATTTCTAGTTCTGTCCCTTAGAAGGCCAAAGAAGCAAAGATATCCCAGTAGTGAAGTGTACATTCAAAGGCTAGATCTTGGTTTCTAATATTATTTCCCTACTAAAAAGAAGCACAGTACTCAAAAAGTAGATGCCAGAACTGGGATAGATAGACAAAAGGTAAGCCTAACAAAAGGTAAGCACCACATACAAACATTATCTTAATACTAGAAAACAGGAAAATGCTAACAACAATTTTGGAGTGCTATTACAACACAAAATTAACTACAGTAATACATTTACAAACTTTGAAAAATAATACGAAGTGATGAGTCCACACCAATATTAAACAGAAAAGAGAAGAAATGAATAGGAAATAAGAGAAAACTTGTATACTTAAATATTGAGAGCCTTATGGTATTTGCATCAGAGTTGGAAAAATCACCGTTTTGTAGCCATCACTGCAAAGATTGGATCAGGAAAGAGTCATGAATGGATGCTACATCTAGGGGAAATTTTGATAAGAATACTTGATGATCTTAAGAGTGTCTGCCCCAGACAGCTCATTAGTAAGTCTGTAATGGAAAAATGGCAAAACCTTGATAGAGTGACCGAAATTGACATTACCAATAAGGGACAGATCATGTACCAGATCTGACCCAAAGAAGGATATAACATTATTACACAGTACTCTGGCCAATAAGGCAAAAATCTCAATTTAATTATAAGGAAACATTCAATAAACATAAATTGAGTGACAATCTATGGAGTGAGGTACCATATATATTAAAAATGTCAATGTCATAAAACCAAAGGAAGGAAAATGCCATAAAGGTCATTACTAGGCAGCTGAAAAAATAAGGATGACAGGATAGAATAAAAATTGAATCAATAAAACACTTAAAATTTTTATACACACAGATAAAGGAAAAGAACAAGAAATGAGTGATAGCTTTCTATAATTCTTGTAATGTTCTGTTTTCTTGGTCTTTTTATAGATTTAAAATGAGACATAATGATATATGGATAAAGTCTAGGATTTTAATTTTGTTTTGTCTTCTTCCTTGTGGTTTATTCCTAGGTAGATAAGAAAACTAAGGAACTGAGTAAGGCTACACTGTAAGGACATGAGGTTATGCAACAAGCAGGAGGTGGGCAGCTGCTTAAGAACACCTGATCTCCAATTATTATTCGCCATGTGCTATTTATCTGCTGATATGTATCCTATAGGACTGAATATTTGTGAAGTTACATGATATAAGAGAAAGACTTCTCTTTAATATTATAATTCCTATTGACAATTTTGGGGTTTTCTGTGTATTTCAAAACATGTCACATGAGAGATCATTATATAAATATTCTCCTCACTAGAATATTACTCCGCTATTCCTACAAATATAAGCTCCAACAAAACAGAAATTTGGTCAATCTTTATACATCTTAGGGACCAGAACAGTGCCAGAATACAGTACATACTGAGCACAATGTTTTTAATATGAAAGAGCAGTCCTTTATATTGCTTATGCAGAATAAATGCAAATATTAATCAAGATTATTTAGAAGTAAAGGTAACCGGGGCTGGGGATGTGGCTCAAGCAGTAGCGCGCTCGCCTGGCATGTGTGCGGCCCGGGTTCGATCCTCAGCACCACATATAAACAAAGATGTTGTGTCCGCCAAAGACTAAAAAATAAATATTAAAATTCTCTTAAAAATTCTCTCTTAAAAAAAAAAGTAAAGGTAACCTGTAGAATGCTCTTAATGAAATTTTATATAAGTATCATGTATACTTAAATATAGATAAATAGGTAGATAGCTATTGTTGTACAATAATTACTTTCATTTGAATACTAACCAAGACATCTAGAAAATGAGCAAAACAAAAATTTAGGAGGAATCATGTCTGATTCCTATTGTTACATTTTTAATCCTCTGTTGGACTTTAAAAACAATCCAAGGAGATGTGAGGAGTGCCACCTGCCTATAATCCCAGTGACCTGGGAGACTGAGACAAGAGGATCACAAGTTCAAGGCTGCTTAGCAACTTAGTGAGGCCCTAAGCAACTCAGTGAGACCCTGGCTCAAAATAAAAAATAAAAGGGGATTGGATGTAGCTCAGTGATAAGGTGTCTGTTGGCTAAATCCCTAGTACAACAAAACAAAACAAAGCAACAATAAAAACAATCCAAGGAAAAACATTGGTATCTCTTAATCTTCTTTTCAATGTAAAGTCCCAAAGATTTTTTCCTTTTAAAGGATAGACAATAGAAATCATTTTTTTTTAGTTAAATTGTATGCCAAATCATTCACAGACATAACAAAATGTCTTTTTTAAAAAATTTCCTCTCCCCCCCCCTCTTTAAAAAGAGGGGGGGGGAAGAGGAGAGAGAGAATTCTTTTTTAATATTTATTTTTCAGTTTTCGGTGGACACAACATCACAACATCTTTATTTTATTTTTATGTGGTGCTGAGGATCGAACCCAGCACCCCACGCATACCAGGCGAGCGCGTTACGGCTTGAGCCACATCCCCAGCCCACAAAATGTCTTTTTTTCAGTGAAAAACCGGACTTAAGAGCTTGTTCTTGTCTTATAGTTGGAAGGGAAAGTGTACATCCTTAAATTACAGGTTTGCTTCATACATACATTCCAATGTTCTTACATAAAAGCGCTAGAGAAATATGCTTTAAAACATTTAACTGGCTTTGTAAAATATATAATATGTTGGAAGGTTATCAATCTGTGTTTTTTTCACGAAGGAAACACATAAAATTTAACTGTTTCCTGGTTTCTATATAAGAACTCAGAATTTATGAATTGACATGAAAATTAAACACAAAATCCCCTTCAGGAAATTCTCTTCTCTTCTGGAATGACTCAGTAGATTTTCTCAAATGTTAATAAACAATCTTACTATTAGGTCTTAAATATTCTATCAAGTAATTCTTACTAACACATGGGTTCATAAGAGTTCCATCTTTCTTTGTCAAATTCCAGAAAGAAACAAAAATAATAGCTGGTTATTTATTATTATTTTCCTGCAACAAAATTGTTTCTTTAAATAACAATAATATGGACATAAATGGATCATTTTGAGATAAGGGACTTGATGTAAAGTTATCTCATTTGGTTTGAGTGGCTGCTTACCCAATATTGCCCAGCTCACAACCTGATTCATAAGAGGCAGTCCTTGTTTCTTGAGTAGACTATTGTGGGTACTATACACAACATACATGGAAAGCACTGTGCTCAGCATCTAAAAACACAAACAAAACAGGTCAATAAAAGAGAAGGTGGTGAAAGTCTATCTACCAGGAAAAAAAAAAAAATGCTTAGGAAAGTGCTGAGAACAACTGGAACTGGCCAAAATACTACTAATGTTGGACAAGGTATTGAAATTGGATGAGGGCACCTTCTTGTGGCCAAGGCTAAGCATTAGCATTCCTATACTAAACAAAGGTCCTCCTTTGTAAGTATCACATGAAACACTTTACATTTTCAAGAGCATTTTTGACATATATCATTACAATTTCTATTTGGAAGTATTTGTTATAAATACTTCTTAAAAGTATGGAAACAAAGATGGTGATATGTACATAACTTAGTGCCTTCTCCTTCTGGACCTCTCCTATAGTACTACTGATTTATTCAGTCAACTGTGGTCTGAATATTGATGACAGAGGGAATACACAAAGTATAAATACTCTTCAGAGAATATTTATAAATTAGTATAGAAGTTGACAAACTATAACTCATAGGCTGGTGTCCTATTTTTATAAATACTGTTTTGGTGGAACATAATTACTCCCATTCATTCACCTGTTGTTTTTCTTTGCATTAAAATAGAAGAGTTGAACATCTGTTAAGACTCCATATTACCCATCAATCTAAAAATATTTACTATCTGGTTCTTTAGAAAAATGTTTGCTGAACCTGAACTAGTAGCTTAATTGCCATCTAAGAAATGAGCTAAATTTTGACTATGAACAAACTAAATTCTCTTATTAGAGTTTGGATTAGCGGTCTCACTACCAATGTTTCCTAGAGAAACATTTAATTTACTCTCATATTTTCAGTGTTAAGAAGCAAAACAGAAAACAATGCTGTTGTTAAAGCTATAACATAGTCCTACAATCCTTTTAACCGGAAGATACATTTTGGGGTATCGGGACAGTGCTGGAGATTAAACCCAGGGCCTCATCATGTAAGCCAGGTAAGTGTTCTATCTCTGACTTACAGTCCAGTTTTCTTTTCTTTCTTTTTCTTTTCCTTTTTTTTTTTTTTTTAAATTTTTGAGACAGGGTCTTTTAAAGTTGCCCAGGCTGGGCTCAAACTTGGAATCTTCCTCCTGCCTTAGCCTCTTGAACAATTAGTATTACAGGCATACACCACTGCACTTGGCTTCTAAGACACATTCTAATTTCAGAGATGTTAAAATGGGATAAAAATGTGTCTTAGAGTCAATAAAGTATGGCAGGCAGTACAGGAATTAATGCAAACTAATAAAATGAATGCAAAAAGGAACACTGTAATGGAGTTACCTAACATTTGGGTCTTTCTAACAAAGCATATAACAATTTTAGCAAGACATTCATTCTTTGCTCCTTTAGAATAATAGTCAGAAACATTCATTTCTGTCAAAGTTCTGGTGAAATGATAGGTGAATGCTGTCAAAGCTACTCTGGCTTTGGTGTAAAGCCAGCAAGTGCACCATTTCAAATGAAACATGTTTCAATGGCTTGACAGGATCTTTTTTTTTTTTTTTGGTGCTGGGGATTGAACCCAGGGCCAACTGAGCTATGTCCCCAGCCCTTGACAGGATCTTTGACAAAGCATTTCTTCTCTTTATACAAGTTCTCTAAGAATGCATTTAACTTATCATCTTTTCTGTGGCATATTTTTATTTTTGACTGTTTTGGGAAATATTTTCTATTATTCCAACTCTGTTCTGAGGAAATTTGAGAAGACTCATATGAGTTTTGTTTCTTGTCACTGTTCTAGATGTGGTTATTTATTCACTTAAAAAGAAAAAAAGTAGTTTCAATCTTGATTTCCAACAACCAAAAAAGATAAAACTTTATAAAATATTTCATTATATAATCTCTAAAATTCTCACAGCCCTATTAGATATTATGTCTACTTACAGGTTAAAAACAAACTGAAGTCAAAGTTCTGAAAATTATACATGTAGAATACAGTGCAACTGGGAATTGACTCAATTTTGAAACATGGAGTTTAAAGTTCTTTTCACTACACTAAGGCCACCAACCAAGATGAAGTTTATATTCTCCTAGGGTATCATCTGAGGTCTTAACCTAAGGCTTTTCTTCATATAAATATACTACAGGTTGCTTTCACTTCAAAGAATCTTGTCTCAAATGAGGACAACAGAGAAATTCAGTCCAGAGGAAGCTCTTCTCAGCTCACGTTTTGGTCAGTCCAGATACCTTTTAAATCACTACAAATTCTCTGCTCTCTGTGTATCTTTCAGTTGCCTCTTGTTGACCTTTTTGCTATTTCATACCTTTGGGAGAACCTATTTCTATCTTAGAAATCTTTCTTCTTAGCTGGAGGATATTGAATGACATAAACATAATGGCACATTAAGAACATAATTAAATATGACTATAAGACATATTTTGCTATATCATTGGTATAACACATAGTATTGAAAATCTGCAACTCACCTGTAATAGATGTACCAATAACTCTTCCTTGATAAAACTATTTTTTCTTTTGATGAGAGATGTTATAACAAACAGGGATAGTAGAAGAACCAGCAAGCCTGCACTCATTCTGTTTCAAAATACAATTCACAATTTAAATTTTCTTAAGACATTTCCTGAACACATCATATGATAACATGATGCATTTTATTCTAATATAGAATTTCTCAATCATCTGATTTAATCAAGAAGCAGCAGCAAAATGGACACAGAAGTTTAGCAGGAAATATTAAAAATGTTAGTATAAAACATTTTAAGGATATATTTATTATTTCCACAATTTTTAGTAGCTTTACCTGATTTTTTTAATTCAACTTAAAAATTATTTTACATATACCAACAACTATAATTCTTGGCCTGAACTGAACAAATTTAAAGTAAACAATATAAAAGATAGCTAAATAAATATATTATTAGCATCTATAACATACATTTTTCGACTATGAGCACTTACTTATTCACATAAAAAGTATCACATTTAAAATCTAAATTATTTCTAGCAGGGACAAACAGTTCCTTTCTAGCACTGACCCTGGTGCTTTCCTCAGTTGCCCTGACTAAAGGAAGAGTAGGGCAGTGGTCACAAAGGTGGCATACAGGTGAGTACATTATTATACATTCTTTTTAAAAAAATATTTTAGTTGTAGATGGACACAATATCTTTATTTATTTATTTTATGTGGTGCTGAGAATTGAACATAGGGCCTCACACATGCAAGGCAAATGTTCTACCACTGAGCTACAACCCCAGTAATGAAATAACAGATTATACTTTTCAAGAATACGAGGTATAAATACTTTTCAAGCTACTTCGGGAAATAGAAAAAGAGGGAGAACTTCCAAATTCATTCTACGAGGCCAACATCACCCTGATACCTAAACCAGACAAAGACACTTCAAAGAAAGAAAACTACAGACCAATATCTCTAATGAACCTAGATGCAAAAATCCTCAATAAAATTCTGGCCACTCGGATACAAAAACATATCAAAAAAATTGTGCACCATGATCAAGTAGGATTCATCCCTGGGATGCAAGGCTGGTTCAATATACGGAAATCAATAAATGTTATTCACCACATCAATAGACTTAAAAATAAGAACCATATGATCATCTGGATAGATGCGGAAAAAGCATTCGACAAAGTACAGCATCCCTTTATGTTCAAAACTCTAGAAAAACTAGGGATAACAGGAACATACCTCAATATTGTAAAAGCAATCTATGCTAAGCCTCAGGCTAGCATCATTCTGAATGGAGAAAAATTGAAGGCATTCCCTCTAAAATCTGGAACAAGACAGGGATGCCCTCTCTCACCACTTTGGTTCAACATAGTTCTCGAAACACTGGCCAGAGCAATTAGACAGACGAAAGAAATTAAAGGCATCAAAATAGGAAAAGAAGAACTTAAATTATCACTATTTGCAGATGACATGATTCTATACCTAGCAGACCCAAAAGGGTCTACAAAGAAACTATTAGAGCTAATAAATGAATTCAGCAAAGTGGCAGGATTTAAAATCAACACGCATAAATCAAAGGCATTCCTGTATATCAGCGACAAATCCTCTGAAATGGAAATGAGGACAACCACTCCATTCACAATATCTTCAAAAAAAATAAAATACTTGGGAATCAACCTAACAAAAGAGGTGAAAGACTTATACAATGAAAACTACAGAACCCTAAAGAGAGAAATAGAAGAAGATCTTAGAAGATGGAAAAATATACCCTGTTCATGGATAGGCAGAACAAACATCATCAAAATGGCGATATTACCAAAAGTTCTCTATAGGTTTAATGCAATGCCAATCAAAATCCCAACGGCATTTCTTGTAGAAATAGAGAAAGCAATCATGAAATTCATATGGAAAAATAAAAGACCCAGAATAGCAAAAACAATGCTAAGCAGGAAGTGTGAATCAGGCGGTATAGCTATACCAGACTTCAAACTATACTACAGAGCAATAGTAACAAAAACAGCATGGTACTGGTACCAAAACAGGCGGGTGGACCAATGGTACAGAATAGAGGACACAGAAACCAATCCACAAAACTACAACTACCTTATATTTGATAAAGGGGTTAAAAGCATGCAATGGAGGAAGGATAGCATCTTCAACAAATGGTGCTGGGAAAACTGGAAATCCATATGCAACAAAATGAAACTGAATCCCTTTCTCTCGCCATGCACAAAAGTTAATTCAAAATGGATCAAGGAGCTTGATATCAAATCAGAGACACGCCGTCTGATAGAAGAAAAAGTTGGCTACGATCTACATACTGTGGGGTCGGGCTCCAAATTCCTCAATAGGACACCCATAGCACAAAAGTTAATAACTAGAATCAACAAATGGGACTTACTCAAACTAAAAAGTTTTTTCTCAGCAAAAGATACAATAAGAGAGGTAAATAGAGAGCCTACATCCTGGGAACAAATCTTTACTCCTCACACTTCAGATAGAGCCCTAATATCCAGAGTATACAAAGAACTCCAAAAATTAGACAATAAGAGAACAAACAACCCAATCAACAAATGGGCCAAGGACCTGAACAGACACTTCTCAGAGGAGGACATACAATCAATCAACAAGTACATGAAAAAATGCTCACCATCTCTAGCAGTCAGAGAAATGCAAATCAAAACCACCCTAAGATACCATCTCACTCCAGTTAGATTGGCAGCCATTAGGAAGTCAAACAACAACAAGTGCTGGCGAGGATGTGGGGAAAAGGGTACACTTGTACATTGCTGGTGGGACTGCAAATTGGTGCAGCCAATTTGGAAAGCAGTATGGAGATTTCTTGGAAAGCTGGGAATGGAGCCACCATTTGACCCAGCTATTCCCCTTCTCGGTCTATTCCCTAAAGACCTAAAAAGAGCATGCTACAGGGACACTGCTACATCGATGTTCATAGCAGCACAATTCACAATAGCTAGACTGTGGAACCAACCTAGATGCCCTTCAATGGATGAATGGATAAAAAAAATGTGGCATTTATACACAATGGAGTATTACTCTGCATTAAAAAATGACAAAATCATAGAATTTACAGGGAAATGGATGGCATTAGAGCAGATTATGCTAAGTGAAGCTAGCCAATCCCTAAAAAACAAATGCCAAATGTCTTCTTTGATATAAGGAGAGTAACTAAGAACAGAGTAGGGTCGAAGAGCATGAGAAGAAGATTAACATTAAACAGGGATGAGAGGTGGGAGGGAAAGGGAGAGAGAAGGGAAAATGCATGGAAATGGAAGGAGACCCTCAGAGTTATACAAAAGTACATACAAGAGGAAGTGAGGGGAAGGGGAAAAATAATATAAGGGGGACAAACGAATGTCAGTAGAGGGGGCAGAGAGAGAAGAGGGGAGGGGAGGGCAGGGGAGGGGAGGGGAGGGGAGGGGGGATAGTAGAGGATAGGAAAGGCAGCAGAATACAACAGACACTAGTATGGCAATATGTAAATCAATGGATGTGTAACTGATGTGATTCTGCAATCTGTATATGGGGTAAAAATGGGAGCTCATAACCCACTTGAATCAAATTGTGAAATATGATATATCAAGAACTATGTAATGTTTTGAACAGCCAACAATAAAAAATTAAAAAAAAAAATAATATGGACTCCTGACTTGCTGGTAAATATGTTTTTACTTTAGTGCACTAAAATAATAGGGACACTACAAATATATTATACAGTTTTGCTTTTTCCTCCAATTTTAATCTGTTTCACATGCGTCTTTGTAATTTTTTAAAGAATGAAGTTGCTGTGATAGATCAAGTACAGAATAAAAATTTCTCCACAAACCAGGAATTAAAATAAAGAAGTTACAAATGTAACTATAGCAAGAAGCCAACATATAGTTAAAATCACTGAGCAATTTAAATTTACAGAAACATTATTTTAAAAATACAAATTAGATTTTTTATATTTGAATAGGTTTATTTGCTTCCTGCAGTCATCTTTATATGCAAGAGGCAAATTTCTATGGACTAATTATATACTTTCTTTTTCTTTTAGTATAAAATAAATTCTGCTTAACTGTCAATACTGTTTGAGCAGGACTAATAGGCAAAGACTGATAAAATAAAACGGCTTTACAAAAGCAATAGAAGAGCTCAAAGAGCAATCTTCAGTAAGAAATAAATGAAAATATTTAAATTCATTTTCTCACATACTATTTATAGTTTATGATAGTTGCAAAATGTTTGATAACACTATTTAATGAAGTATGGCTTAGACAGTATAGTCTTGAAATTCAATATAATTATTTTGTGTTCTACTAATAAACTGACTTCTTGAGATAATTCCTGATGTATTGCACATTGATTTTCTTGCACCAATGAAAAAAATGTGCAGAAACTCCTAAATTACAGCACATACTTTAAAAAATCAATATTTTTTGCTAAAATAGATATATCCTCATCTATTAAAGATTACATTAAAATGTATTTTAAATGCTTATAGAATTCAGAAGACAGTAACAAGGATGATGACATCATTAGAAAAGAAGAAAGGAAATGTTAAATGAAATAATGATCATTTAGCTTGCCAAGTACACAGAGATACACAGACACACACAACTGGTAGGTTATTTAATAATTTTAAAATATGGTTAAAAGATTTAGATTTATTTTGGTTATATTGAGGGGAAATAAACACATCAACAGAATGAATAACTTAGGTAAGATACATAGAAAAGTTGTCCAAGTAAATAGTTTGGTGCCATAAAGATCTTTATATTCAGATCAGAGAAAAATTCTTTTTTCTAAGACATTTTAGTGTGAAAGGCAAAGTCAAACGCAAAGAAGGATAACACAATAGTTTTTGGACCTTTTTCCTTAACAACAAAACATTTTATCACATGAAGCTAATTTTTTTTTCCAATTCCCCAATACATGAAAGAAAGAAAATCTAGACTTTCGAGGGAGTATTATGGTTTGGATATGAAGTATCCCCCGAAAAAGCTCACATTAGAAACATGGTATCCAATGTAGCAATGTTCAGAATTAAAATTATTAAATTATGGAGCTAAAATCTAACCAGTGAATTAATCCATTTGATGAATTAATAATGTGATGGACTACATGGGCATGGATGGTGAGTCACTGAGGGTGGGCTCCTGGGGACCATGTTGTCCCTGGCTCCTTTCTCTCCCTCTCTCTGATACCTGGCTATCATGAGCTGATCAGCTTTCCTCTGACAAGCCCTTTGGCCATGACATTTTGCTTTTACCTCAGGCCAGGGCAATGGAGTAGGCTGACCATGGATTGAGTCCCTGAAACTGTAAGTCCAAAATAAACTTTTCCTCATCTAAGTTGTTCTTTTCAGATATTTTGGTTACAGAGAACCAAAAAGCTAAAAAACATGGGACATTATCTTAAATTACATTTTTTAATAGAATTTCATTTTCTGTGTGTTTGTGATATTGTTAAGTTTCCATTGTTTGGCACAATTTTATTGTTTGTGCTGGAATGGAAGCATCTCCAAGGAGACTTGATGATTTTAGCTTAGGCCAAAATCATGACTAATAATTTGATATTAATATTTTCATGTCTAGTTTGCTTATTTATTATTTTTATGTGGTGCTGAGGCTCAAACCCAGTGCCTCACATGTATGAGGCAAGCGCTTTGCTACTGAGCCACAACCCCAGCCCTAATGCTTAGTTTGTTCATATGATTTTAAACTCATAATCAAGATTGGGTTCAAATTTCATAGTATTGACTGAGGGGAAAAAACTACTGAAAAGAAAAGAAGATACTGTTCATACACCAAAGAGAGATCTGGCTTTCGACCTACAACAGGCATCAGTGGGAACACTGCCAGGAGCAAAGAGAAGAAAGTCCAACTCAAGGAGGTGACCTAAAATCAAGGGAAAAAAAAGTCATCTTTAGACAAATATTGTTTATCTTCAGACAAATATAGTGAAACCTGCTTTCAGTGTTTCAGGCTACCCAACTGTGAAACTAAAAAGAAAATGCAAAGCCTTAGAGCCATTTGCTTTATTTTTTATTTTAAATTTCTTTTTTAGTTGTAGGTGGACATAATACCTTTATTTTATTTATTTACTTATTTTTATGTAGTGCTGAGGGTCAAATCCAGTACCTCACGCGTACCAAGCAAGTGTTCTACCACTGAGCTACAACCCCAGCCCCCAGCCATTACTTTAAAAAGTAATAGAGTAACTGTTGGTGATGGACCTGATCCATAGTGGGTGCTGAATTCAGTACAATATGAGCATTATCTCACACAACAAGTAAATGAAATAGGATTTAAGCTTGGGCCTGATATTTTAAAACAAGTGTTTTCTTAATGTTATACCATATATTGATAATGGCATCTATAAGAAAACTACTACTGCTGCTGCTGCTGCTGCTGCTACTACTAATATTTACTAAATTTTAATTGAGTCTAGAAGAGAAATAAGTATAAATACTATTATAATTAATTAAGACAAAACTGATCAATAATTCCATTAATTAGAGATTTTTGTAAATTCTCCAAGGTAGAAGATATGTTTATCCTCTGTCAAAAGTATCAAAGTGGAAACATAAGAGTGTTCTTTGTAGAAATACACTATAATTCTCTACCTAGCTAAAGGAAGAGTATATAATGAATACATATTTCTCTGGTGAAAAATTGAATGGTTCAGGCCCAAGAGGGAGGTGATTTCTCAAGACTCACTTTCAGAGTACAGTCCCCTAAGCCACTGCCCTGTTCTGAGTAGCTTTCTCCATCATTTAGATATTTAAAGCTGAAGGAATCCAGGAAATGCTTCACAGAAGGGCAAACCCGATCTGCTTCTTCAGCATTTCAATTACCACATAATTGGCTCATTCTGATATGCAAGTCTAAGTGAATCACTGAAACCTAAAGCCAACATGAGGCCTCCTGTCAAAAGGACCAGACTCTTTAAGGACACATGCTACCTTTTGGTTTAAAAACAAACAATTCCTTGAGTTAAATACATATAATCTGTTCTATGTCAAAATGAGTACTTATACCTTTGCTCGCATCCACAGCTGAGTGAGAAATGGCCAGCCCGCAAATATAACAAGTCCAGCTGTAAGCATATAGCGGTAGAAAAAACTGAGAACCTGGTAATGCATTCCAAAAAGAATGGAAAATGAGGTCACTGAATACCAGTTACATACATATGAAAGAAATCTGGAAATGTAATCTGGTAAATTACTTACTAATACTTCAATTCCCAAGGTACAGATTAACAGGTGCCCAACAAAATGGCTCAGAGGAAAGGTCAATAGTGATGCAACAAGGTCTTGAATAACTTGAAATCTGTTTTAAGAGATTATTTATGAAGAATATTTATACTCTGCATTGAACTAAAAAAGTCAAATAGCAAAAAATTAAAAAAAAACTTTGCACAAATCTAAAAATCAGGAAATTTTCCACTCATAGATTATTTTAAAAGTAAGATAAATTCCAACAGATATATTTCAATGGCTTTGGCTCATACAATTTGGGTGAAGGGCAGTCCACAAGTATTTTGGAAAAAATGTAATTTTTGAATTAATTTGAAATGATCACAAAAGTTTGCCTGGTTTCTTTTTTTATTCTTTTTTTTTTTAACATTTTTTAAAATTGTTGTTGAACCTTTACTTTATTTATTAATTTATTTATATGGGGGGCTGAGAATCAAACCCAGTGCCTCAAACATGCAAGGCAAGTATTCTACCACTACGCCACAATCCCAGCCCAGTTTGCCTGGTTTCTATAAACATTAATGACAATAAATGAGCCTTATCTTATTTAAGTTTAAACACAGGTACATACAATTACAGATGTAATACCAGAAGTAAAATATAATGAACCCACACCTAGGCAATCTTATATTAAAATCTCAATCATCTTCATGAAATAAAGGTAGGTTTTTCCTCACCTAGATAACGGAAAATCCCAATTGCACTTTATGGTTGAGCTAAATAACCTTTTCCAAACTCAATTTAAGATGTCATTAATTGTACAATAATTGTATTTGGGAATTTATAACCATAAAAAATGTATTATATATTCAATAACTTTTATATTTTATTGCTGGCAAGAAAAACTTTTAACATTTGTAGTACATTAAGTGGGTAATTATAAAAGGTCAGTATCATTTACTTTATGACCTTTTTCTGATTGAAAACAATGGCTGCAGAATTTTATCAAACTATTAATAGGAAAGGAAAGGAAATACCAGTCCATGTAGGAAAGGAAAGCTAATACCAGTCAAAAGATTATTTTTTGTTTCCAATAGTGGATAAGTACAGAGTAAAAAGAGATTATTCTATATAATCAATTTGAAGATTATTTTCTAGGAGGAAAACGAATTTTATGTTTCATTTTCCATATAATCTATCAAAAATATAAAGATGGAATATAAAATACTTTCAAAATCATAGCTTCCCTTAAAATTTAAACATACATGTTATCTTCATCATTAGGAAATTTATAGGAAAAAAATGTAAAACTCTTGTAAAACATGTTTTCAAAATGTGTTATCTTCATTTAATAATTCAGAGGCATTCTATAGCAGAATAGAATTTTCTTCTTTTTGTTTTTTTGGTACCAGGGATTGAACCTACGGGTGCTTAACCACCGAGCCACATCCCTAGCCCTTTTTTGTATTGTTTTCAATAGTGAATAAGTACAGAGTAAAAAGAGATTATAATGAATTATACAGGGTCTTGCTGAGTTGCTTAGGGCCTTGGTAGGTTACTAAGGCTGGCTTTGAACACGCAATTCCCCTATAGGTGCGCCACTGTGCCTGGCTAGAATAAAATTTTCCACAAGGATAAAAAAACCTTTCAAAAATTATAAAATCAGGGAAAATGACATTAGAAAAAAATCTGAACTAAATAAGCATATCCAACAACTCTATCCTTTCAAATGGAGAAGTAACAGTATGTTCTTTGGTCAATGTCTTTATGCCTATGTTTAAAAATAGTTACTAACCTAAACATTTTAATACTATTTTTATTTTTATATTTAAAAACTAAAACATTTTTAATACTTCATGTTTTTAAATAATGGAAGAGCTATCAAAGCTAGTCATCAAAAATTAGAATAGTCAGGCCTTGTGGTATACACTGTAATTCCAGCTACTTAGGAGGCTGAAGCAGGAGGATCACAAATTCGAGGCTAGCCTAAGCAACTAAGGGAGGTTCTGTTTCAAAATAAAAGAAATAAAAAGGGTTGAGATGTAGCTCAGTGATAAAACAACACTTGGTTCAATTCTTAGTACTACAAAAGAAAAAAATTAGAATAAAAATATTCATAGTGTTATGATGTACAGGTAAGGCAATCTTGAGGATATCCTTATTTTAGGTTCTCACCCCCTGGTCAGCTTTAAGGGTGTAGTTTTCTGAGAGGATATTTTGATAAGCAAGACTAAGTTTAAGTTCCACTTTGCTTATGTAAATATAGAAATCCACAAGATCTCCAACATGATTCTGGCTGTCTTTGAACATGAATCAGTGGTTTTACGTAAAAGTGCTTAAAACTCACCTTACATCCTTCCTTTTGAAGCTTTCTAGAATGGTGACAATCCATTTTAAGTCCAACTTGTAAGGAAGTACTATAAAGTACTTAAAGTACTGACAGCACATGTGAATGATAAGGACTAATCTGTCAGTATACCTTACTGTATTAGACTTAACTACAAAGTTTCACTTATCTAGGCTGAAAGGTTGAGCAGGAAAAGAGGGGGAGAAATTTACAGGAAAAAAAAAATGTAAATTTCTTTGTAAGACATGAAGATATTCTGGACTCTGAGATGGTGAAACATGTTCAAATATGTTATTTTATGCCCAGTACAATCAATGTTAATTATGTTATTTTTATTCCACATTTTTTCTTATAAAAGACACACAAAAAAGGAAACAGGGTAACTGCTATCTCAGTGTAATAAAGATGAAGCCAAAAGGGAAAGGTAAAATAAACAGAATGTTTATATGCAACATTTACATAGTTATAAATAAAGTGAGAGAGTTTAGAGATTTGAGAATATTATAAATATCTTTGATGATGTATGCCTCAGAAATCTAATGCATTTTAAATGTAGATTTAGCTGTCAATGAAGTGAAAAACAAGGCAGTAAGATAGTTACTTACTCTTTTAGAACTGCATACCATATTGGCACTGGCAACAAACAATATACATAGTAAGTCCAGGGACAGGCTTGAATCAGCAGGAAGAATGTTACTAAAATGCCAATAGCTACAAAACTACATGGCAGGAGATGGCTTGCTTTCTGAAAATCAAACATAATATTGAAACGCTTCCAACAACCTATGCTAATTGATAGGCTTTTAAGAGATTTTATAAAGTGAAGAAAACATTTTACTGTCTTTCAATAGTTCTACAATTAGATGATAAATAAAAGAGCTACATTAAAAAACAAAAGAAAATAATCTGTCATTTGAGGAACATATTACAGAAGAAAAAACTGGATATTTTGGGATTGTTACAGTTAGACAATTCTGAAGTCACAAGTGATCATGGTCCTAAAGTCTGTTTATAATAATAAATTGTTCAAAACTTAACGTATTCTCTCAATTTTATAAATGTTTACAGAAATTTCTGGATAACTCAAAAGCTTATTTAATCCATAATACATTATAAGACTTAATGTTCATTTAGAACAATGTTTCTATTTATTCAAACTACAATTTGACATGCTACCCAGGCTACTCCACTGCCCAACTACCACAGGTCCTTTCAGTCATATCTACTCTTCCCAACAACCTGCCAAACAAGGGAGTTCCTTCAAAGTACGTCACCATTGATAATCTCCATGGGTCAGGCAGGCCAATGGATGCTCTGGGCCAGTTACATCAATAAGTATAATAAAGACTTTCAGAAGAGTTAAACACAGCTGGAGAGAAGAAGGGGTGGAAAGGAAACATGGTACTCTTCTGCTTCCATTTCATGTTTTTTCTGTTTTTCTGTTTTAGCCAAAGCTAAATGAGGTAACAATAAACAACTACTTTCTGAAAGTAGGGAATTTCAAGGAGGAAAAGGAAGAGATTCTTTTCCTTTTTTATAGTTCTTCCCTGCTGCATAAAATGTTATCAAAAACAAGTAAGAATTAAGCATAAACTAGGACATAGTTGTAAAGCGGGGGGGCTAACCCACAATATTGTAACTAAGAGTTTGGAGCTGGGTAGATCAGATTTCATACCCTAGCTCCCATACTTTCTCACTGTGGGAATCATAAGTATTAAAGCTTTCTGAGACTTAGTTTTATCCCATCTATAAAATGGGAATAATTTCATACCTACTTAGCAATGCTTATAATGCTTACATGAGATTAAATAAAGAGCTTAACAAAATGCCTAGAATATTACTACTACTTAGTAAATGATGGCTACTGTTATTACTTTTATTTTTATTCTCTTTCCTCTCCTTCTTCTCTTTTGCATTAGTCCCAGGTCATTATAAAAATCTGTTAGTGATAGCACTGGAAAGAGAGAAGTGAGAGTCAGTAATGGTCCAAGGGAAAGCAAGAGTAGTCATGGGATGAAATAAGAATATTTGGTTATAAAGCAGAAGACATCTGAACTAGCAAGGGATAAGGAGAAGGTAAGCATATATCAAAATTAAATACAGAACTTAATTAAGGAGATGTAGAAAATTACATTTCAAGGAAAAAAGATTACTCACTGCATTTGCCTATAATAGTAAATAAATCAGAAATGACTCTAGGATCTGGGGAACACTGTCTTGTAGAAGTGACATAAGCTTTAGAGTCACACCTAAATTTAATTCTGATGCTACCATTCTATTTGCTTGTCAATTTGACTAAACCATTTAGCTTGTCTGAAACTGTTCCCTCATCCAACAATGGATGATAATATCTGTTGCAAAGTCATCTCTCATTTTGCTACAGGTGCTCTATACACTTAAAGTTCTTCCAACAGACCATTCTAGCTTACCTCTCTCCGGGCACAGGCTGAGAACATCCTTTTTCTTGTTGGGTTATTCCACCCACTCTTTAAGATTCTTCTTTGGCAATCGCCTCTTCTGCAAAGCTTCCCTACACCCCATTCTAATCAGAACACAGCTGCAACTATCTGACATTCTAACTGCTTTCCACACTTCCCTTCAGCTAATGCTATACACTATGATATATTATTCCTCCTATGAAACTGTTGAGGTTGTATCACTTCTCAACACTGTAAACTCTACACTAAAGGGAAATAAAAATATTTTTGCAAACAGGACCAAAGGATTCAAAATACATGAAATGATCTCAACTGTAATGGTCAGTTTTATGTGTCCACTTGACTGGCTATCATCTCCAATTATTCGAACACTATCCTAGCTGTTACTGTAAAAGGTATCTTGAAGCCATGGTTAAAATCCATAATCAATTGACTTTAAGTATTCCATATTTAGTCTACATAAATGGGTGGGTCTGATTCAATCAGCTGAAAGACTTTAAGGGTAGAATTGAAGCTTCCCTAAAATACAAATTTCATCCACTGGTTGCAGCTTTAGTTGCTATCTGCTTGTCCAGCCTGCCTTCCTGATAGCCTGACCTATGGATTTAGGACTTAGTTAACCAATCCCCACAATTGAAAAGCCACCTCCTACATTAAATGCTTAATATATATTTCCTACTGATCTCCCAATTTTCCACTTAAGTGAAAATGTTATAGTTCAGCATTTAAAGCCTTTGACTTCCTTGGGCTGTACTGTCAGTATATCTCTTATCAGTCACTTGAACAAACCTACTACATTCTACCCAAATTTATTTTGAAGTTACTATAGCATTGAAACAATGAGAATTTAAGTGTTAGAAAATATGAGTTTTGTCATTTAGAACACTCAGGACAGTCTTGGGTAGTAGGGCTCAATAAAAACTTACCATCCCCAGCATAACAGTCCATTTTCCCAGCTTTGCCTATTTTCATCATTCAATTTGCTTTAATTCTCATCCTCTCCCTACAGTCTATTAAACTTTTACCAAAACTTACTTCTTCCTTGCTATCATCACCTTAGTTAAAGTGAGTTCACCTTTATTTAAAATGATAATCTTAACAGGAAAGACAGTAGAATGAAATGGACATAACTTTCTTATGTTCACATATGAATATATGACCGGTAAAACTCTACATCATGTACAACCACAAGAATGGGATCCTAATTAGAATAAGTTATACTCCATGTATGTATAATATGTCAAAATATACTCCTCTGTCATGGGTATCTAAAAAGAACAAATTAAGAAATGACAGTCTTTATATCATCTCACTTAACTTATATTAAGGTTGTTTTTTGTAATGGAGTATAGTGTACCAATATCTGGTAAGTTGGTTATGTGTGCACATATCTTACCTACTTAATTCTAAGATCCTTAATGTCAAAATCTGAACTATGTATCTCTTTGCATAGTCTACATATTATCTAGCATTGTACTATACACTCAATGAATATTGGATACATTCTCCAGATGAATAAAGAACTATCAGGTATAAATCTTGCTGACATATCAATGTAAAAACATCATTTCCTTTCCCAAGGACCTGAACATCAGGATAAAGATAAAAAAGCAATATTTGGCACAAAATCGTGTGGGATTAAAATCTTAGTTCTTCACATTATAGCTGAGTGGTCTTTAGCAATGCTAGTCACTTAATTACCCTCAGCTTCAGGTTCTTCTTTTTTAAACAGAAATTATAATGTTTACCTTAGCACTGTTATGAGTCTTGGTTAGTAGAATATATTTAAAGTACCCAGTAGACTGTCTAGATATACCCATTACTAAAACACAGTAATTTCTGTGTTTTTTCCTACCATGCACAGGAAATTATTCCTATTTTACTCAACATCACATATATTCAAATAATTAAAATTACTTGCGGGAAATTATATAAGATACGCAAGCATTGTGACAAATTGAAATAAACACTAATGTTCTGCCCTCCATTACAGAAAAATAAAATGTAAAATTAGAAAAGTTATCATTGGAAATGTTTGCAGTCTACTATTATCAAAAATATAACATGAAAATATATTACTCTTTAGAGGATTTGGGCACTGTAATTATTATTAGAATGAAGAAAAGGAAATATAAGTGGCATATTTTCACTGGTAAATCCTGGTTAGCAATTTATTTTAAATAAGAGAAGTGTTTCAATGCAGTAAAACTATATATGTACTATTATATTTTCTGTGTTTAAAGAGGTTTTTTAAATGTTTTTCATTGAAATTACAGTAAACTAGGGTACATTCTTAAACAGAAAGTTCTATTAGAATTTGGTATTTTGAATAATTTCAGAAAGTTGAAGGAGAAATAAATTACAGAAAAATATACATTACTCAGAAATATTTGGAGCAAGTGATCATAAATTTTCAGCTTACAGAAAATTACAGAAAAATATACATTACTCAGAAATATTTGGAGCAAGTGATCATAAATTTTCAGCTCCTAAACTGATAAGCAGATAAGGTTAATTACATTGCTTTGAAGTAGTTTTCTGATTACCTATACTGGAAAGATATAAAATACTTATATTAAATAGTTACAAAAAAGAGCAGAAATCAACATCATTAACTATAGAATTTAAATTATTTATGTAGATTATAGCCTTCATATGTTACAGGACTAATATTAATATATCTTCTTACCAAATAAAGAACTAGAGATAACAAAAGAGATCCAATATACCAATACAAACAAAGAAAAATAAAGAGTTGACTTAGCACAAAGACTTACACATTATATGAACTCACTACACATAATTTGGTTAAATTTCTTTCGTTAGTGATTGTTATACCATCATGTAAATCTTCATTATATTTTCTGAACCTACCTTAACTTCTTTACTAATACTTCTTGTTAGGTTGGAATGAGACTTGATGATCAGCAAAGAAACATAAGAAGTCCAACCCACAAAACCAATAGCAACACTGATGCCCAAGAAGAATCTGTCATAAGTGTGATAATAGGACAATCCTTTTAATGCAAGATGAATCAGTTCTGTGCAAAGGGAAACCTATAGAGGAAAAAAAAACATATAACTTGCACCTGGAAAGAATAAGAAAATCTAAATTTCAAAGAAAGAAAAAAAGTTTCTAACAGCTAAACCACTATAGTAAATCAGAGTGAGCTTATAGATGACAAATTTAAGAATAGATTTTGTCTAAGAATATTCTTGCAAGTACAAAAAAAATTCCAGAATACAATTAACTTTTAAATCTTGATGAAAAGGGGCATTTTAATGTAAATCATTTAAGATACATATGTAGTATTCTAAAATAATTCTTTTTGCAGAAATGATCTTCAGATGACACATAGAAGAAATGAAGGTTCTCTACTAAAGGTGCCAAATAATGGAGATTCCCACAATGTGTGAATGTATATATGTGTGCATGTACACCCCCACACATCCCTTTATATCTTTTCATATCAAATGACTCAAGACCATTATAAAACATCACTAAAATAGCTTACTATTGCAGAGGAAAAGAAAAGCTTATCATTTAAAATCATAATAAAAAACAAACATTGGAAATGCATGGTTTCCAATTACTTGGGCACTTTTATAAAATGAAAACAGAATTCTTTCTTACTTTAAAAGTATATGAACATTTAATTAAGAAAAAAACTAAAGAAAAACATGGGGAAGGAGTTGGGAAGAGTCAAAACTTCAGTATGAATCATTAGATCTTCATTTTTTTTTTTCCTGGCACTGGGGATTGAACCCAGGAACTCAAACATTCAGGGTAAGTGCTCTATCACTAAGTTACAGCCCAGTCCTTTTTCACTTTATTTGTCCAGGCTGATCTCAAACTTGCCATCTCTGTCTCAGGCTCCTGAGTAGCTGGGATTTGAGCCTCGCACCCAGCATTATTAGACTTCTGATAGTGCAATGACACATGCATGGCATTCTAAAATATTTTACATAAGAAAGTGACAGTAACTTGAAATTTATTTTCTCATTTTAAAAAATGGGAATAAGGTTCATTTCTAATGCTAAGTCAGTAAAGTGCGCCCATAATATTATCTGAAATAAAGAGAAGTATGTCCATGGCCAAAGCAGATCCTCAGGAAAGTATCCTGGCCTGCCCAATGTGCTGCTGCTCTTCATCACCATACCTTGCCCTTCCCCAACTCTGAAATGCTAATCAGCTATTTATGTCCACAACACCTGGATACTTTACTTACCGCTTCATCAAACTTTCCCTGTTTTATGTACAATCTTGCTTTTCTTAAAATGTCTACCTGTTTAGAATCAGAGAGCAACCTACAAAAGAAAAAGAATACGTTTAAAATGTTTTCTCATTTCAGTTACATTTGCTCTTGACTTTTATTTTCACTTGAAAAAAAAAGGATAGTGAAAATTGAGAAAACAAAAAACAAAACAAAGCAAAAATGCAAGAAAGAAATCTTAAACTAAATTGTATTACTTCTGGCTGTTTGAACTCTTCTAAGAAATAGCTTATAGCTAGATCTAGTTTTCTTGACCCAAAGTTTTAACTATAAAACTACACTATGAAAATCACATAAGCCAACTTTATGAAGAAATGTTAAGACCCTGACAAAGATATTCTGGTTAAATCAAAGTAATTAATGGAATACAGAGTAAATGGCATAAGTTCTATCACTAAGCCCTCATGTGTTTATGGCAGACATGAAACACAAGGCAGGACCATCAATGCATTTTTCACTCCCAACCCAGACAGAACCTAACCAACAATGCAAGTCAGTGAATAACCCGAACTTATTATACTATGCAATATATGGGGAAATACTAAAATATACAGCATTGCCTGAAACTATAGAAACTGAGGAAACATAATAATGAAACAAGTATGTACATTTAAACACAAAATTGCAATACAGAGCTTAACTAAACCTACACTCCTAAACTTAATATATTAATGTTTAAAAATTATAGGAAGTAAATATTTTAAGCAATCATTACTAGTTTCAGGTGGGAGGGTCAGACACTTATTTCAGAATCTGAGATTCTTGTCTAGAAAACGCACACCAAGGGGGTAGAGAGAGAAGAGGGGAGGGGAGGGGAGGGGAGGGGGGATAGTAGAGGATAGGAAAGGCAGCAGAATACAACAGACACTAGTATGGCAATATGTAAATCAATGGATGTGTAACTGATGTGATTCTGCAATCTGTATATGGGGTAAAAATGGGAGTTCATAACCCACTTGAATCAAAGTGTGAAATATGATATATCAAGAACTATGTAATGTTTTGAACAACCAACAATAAAAATTAAAAAAAAACGCACACCATTTAAAATTTTATGTTTTTTCAGAAAATTTATTAATCTTAGGTGCCTATCTATTACTTCCCTTAGAGTTTTATGGGAGACTCTGATAAAGAATCTGTGCCTATTTCTAAGAGCTATCAGATAGTCCAATCCAATCAGCAGGTTCTCATATTTTAGACTCCAGGAAAATTCTCCTCCCCGCTTATATTATTGGAAATTGGAAGGAAAAAGTACCAAGAAGCAGGAATACATGAAAGAAGAACAAGCGACTTCAAAATGTTGCCTTGATCCATTCTCTATCCCTTCAGACACCAAACATCGTTTGGGAATATTTTCCTGGAAGTTTTAGAAATTAAATTACTGAGCCAAAGTGAACAGACATTTTTTGAAGATGCTAAGTTGAATTTCCCAAATTTCTAAAAAAGACTTCTAGTTGATCTTTTTCCTTTTGCTTTGATCCACTCAGATTCTTAAATTACCGAGTACACCATCAACTTCCTTGTAACTGATACAGGCTTATTGTCTATTTCATCAATTCTGATCTTGCTAGACTATTGATGACACTCTCCTTCTATTCAACTTAATTTCCCATTATCCAAAATGTATACCATCTGCTAAATAAGGTTAAACTCTTTGTTCTTCATCTATCATGTATTTATATCTGAGTTCTTACTCACAAAGATCTTCTCTGCTTTCCAAAATCAAATCTTCATCATTCATTATGGTCCATTCCAAATCTCACCTCATACCACTAACACTTTTGTGTGGTCTAATGATCAGTTTATTTTCTTTCAACTAAATTATAACCTCTACATGGATCAAGATAATAATATTCATTAATTTGCCCAGTAATACTTAGCCAAGTGCTAAGCACATACAATAAATCAATAAATCTTAATTGGTTAATATGCTATCAAAATTCTGTAGACCTAAGAAAGGAAAAAAGTAAGAGAATGGAATACATTGCCATTCTTAAAGTATCTAAGGATTTGCTAAATTAAATAAAAAGATGAAAAGGAAGATTTTCTGAAACCAATTACTTATGCTAACTTAAGAGGCCTTCTCAAGTATTAAGAATGAAAGAAGAAACATTTATGCTACATTATATTAAGAGTACTCACATAAAGAAACAAGTCAGGCTAATTTATAATTTTTCATAAATGGACTATTAATAAATCTTGAGACATATCAAAATAGACACACCAAAAGCCTGCAATATATCTGAAAATCATCAAAATATTCTGTATAAACCTCACTATGGCCCCATGACACTTAAGACTCATAAAATTGTCCCCAATATAAATTTCTTAAAGTTTCATATCAAGTTGAGAAGGGATATGAAATAAATATTTTTATTTATAACATATTTTAAACATAAAGAACTTTTTGAAAAACAAATTCCAGAATATAAAGTAAAACACACATATTTTTGTAATAAAGAAAACAAACAAAATAATAATAAGTAAAGGGAACTGGGAGGGGAGTAGTGAAAAGAATATCACGTACAAATGAAAATAAATAAGGGAGCTCTGATACATAATTATGAATAAATCTTGAAAGCCACATGAATAGAAAAAAAATTGCAAAAAAACTGTATTTTAAAAATAGGGATTCAACTATGTCACATCATTTAATATCCTATTTTTAAAAAGAATCTAAAGAAACATGGCAAAGTATTAACCTCTGTTATGGGTAGAAGAATTTTTGTTATAATCTATATTCTTTTCAACAAGCTTGAAATATTTCTTAATTAAATCTTAAAATACGTTAATAAGGGATATGTTCATACATATAAACATGTACACATGAGATATATTGGCAATGCAAAATAAACTGGAATTTACCTTCAGAGAAAAAAACAACTATGTAAGATTGGGATATGAGAGGAAAGGTAAATTTTTCTTGTTATGCAATTTTTATTGTGTGCACATATTATTTTTCATGAATATTTTACCAACCAGTTTTTTTAAATAAAATATTTAAAACACTAAAATTTAGTCATAGCTTCTGGCTATAACAGAGAAGCTTTGGCATATCAACACTCTCACTAGGACAACTAGAAAGCCTAATAAAATAAATTAAATATCAATCTGAAAGTACTAAGACAATTAAGAAATGAAGGGCTAACATCCTAAAGGGAAAGAAACCATAAAGAAGGAACCCAACTTTCTAATCAAGACATCTGCCATTTGTATCTTGGCCTAATGCAAAAGGCTGAGAATTTGGGCATATAGATGCAGCCCAGAGGTAAATAATACAATAGAGGCTTTGGCAATCTTGCACAACTGGAGTGATAAAAAATAAAGTTTGTAGCTGCCAATGCAGGCAGGAATTGGGACCTAAAAGGCAAGAAAAATAAGAAAACAATTCTGGGTTTCAAAAAAATAGATCTCCTAGAATTATTTTCTAGAAGAATTACTTAAACAATTTTAATAGATTCTGAGGTGAAGTCGGGATTTGTTGTTTGTTTGTTTGGTAATGGTGTGCTTGGAACCAGTGGCCTCACACAATTCTAAGCCAGTGCCCTTCCATTGAGCTACATCCCCAGCAAAAGAAGTCAGGTGAAAATGAGAATATACTGTGTGAATATAAAGCTCAGAAACAGGGATAAGTACTTGATGGTATTTATAAATCAAGGTTTAGATCTGGAGGAGGCATAAAAGAAACTTGGAGGTAGAATATTGATGTATTTTTTGATATAGATGCTGGTTACAAGAGTGTATATTTTGTACAAATCCACACTTTAAACTTAAAATTTATGTACTTTGTTCACATGCTTTAATAAAATTTACATTAAAATTTGATCAGTTTTGAAACAGGCTAGATAGAAGGAAGATAAGCCATTTTCTTTCACATACTGTAATGAAGAGACTAATGTAATACTGAGAATGATTTAAAGTACAATTGAAAGTCAGAGGTATTTTTGAGGAAAAAATGACTACAATGACAGCCAACAGTGCCATCTCAGCTTGAGGAAGTTCTTTCAGTAAGTTTCACAGAGAGGACACAGTTCCTTGTGCCTAGACCTCCTCAGAATTCAACCATCAATCCATAAAGGTCAAAATGTCCACTCTAAATCTATTAATAGACACTTTACCAAATCCAAGCACTTTATCATTTTATTATTAAAAGTTATGCCTGATGCACAGTATTTTATTATATATATTGAATATAACACATAGATTATTTGTTCCATGGTATAGATAAAGGTCTACTTCTCAAAGTCACAACTTTTAGGGATAATTCTATTTATTTGAATGGATGGTCAGAAATTTTTCAATCTAAAATTCCTAGATGGCACATAAAAGTTAAATTACTTAAAAACTATGTATTATTCTTATTTCAACTAATACTCTTAGAATTCAATAACAGACTTTTTATCATTTTCCTCTTAATGAATACATCTGCTTAGCACTTCCTTGCTTCTAGATTGATGGCACAAAACAGTAACATGGACATTTGGAGAGAATTCAGAATAGTAGCAATTAAAGGGCTGAAAATTAACTTTCTTTAAGGGAAAGCTGAAGACACCACCTAACCTAATACAGGAAAGAGAAGGTTTCAGGAATAAAAATATATTCTCAGATGCTAATAAGGAAGAAATTGATCACCTGTTCTACCTTTTGGAAAGTGAACTTGGTCTAAGAATTGTTGTTCAGAGACTGTTTTCATTTTTAAAAAGCAGTTTAAACATTGACATTTAAGAGTTAGACAATGATATACTAAATTAATTTCACTCTATATCTGTGCTTCTACTTTTCCTGAAGTAATACAAGTTTTAGATATGATGTCATATAATGATAAATTATTCATCTACACTTTAAATAAAGCCTCTGGAATATCTGCAGCATAATTAGCTCTCATGCCCTTATAAAAAAATAAGGCAGTGATGGAATATACATTTTTTATGCAGAGAATAACAAAAAAACCTTAATAATTGCTGAGTGATAAAAATATACTGTCAGATGGAGGACACTGTGGTAAACAAACAAACTGTCCTGGATGAAAGAAAA